CTGGCCAAGGCCAAGCCTTTTTCCCCAAGTCAAGTCTGTTTTGCCCATGACCATCACTGGTGAGTGATCCCTCTCTGTCCTTATCTCGACTCACAAGGTTTTTGTTATATTTTCTCCTCATCCCCCTGGGGGGAGGAATGAGCAAGTGGCCTTGTGGTGCTTTGTTACCAGCTGGGCTTAAACCACGACACCAATCTTAATGGCAGATCTGCAAAAAGTTGTAGAAGGAAGTAAGACTTAAGCAGTGAACAGTATTACTAGCTAAATGGTCATGGGACAAAGCATTTCTTATCACTTCATTTTTCAGAATCTTCATGGTAAAAGTAAAGGCAAGGATCTTAAGTCTAATGTGACAAAGGGAAACCAGTAGAGCTATTAAGCAATAATTGCTATAAGCAACAGTAGACTCACTGGTTGAAACAGTGAGTGAAAAAAATAATTTCGCAAGAGTATTCAAAGTGAGATATAAATGAGGTAAAATTTAACTGGGCAATGTTTGCAAACAACTTAGTGCTTGATGTATTGGCAGGAGTCTTGGCTCTCCTTCCCCCTGTTGGAATAATAATATAACTGTAGTATTACAGTTCTTTTAATTGTGGGACATTATAAAGAATATACTAAAAGTATGTGCAGTTTTTTTCACGTTGTCTTCTCTGGTCTCTTAGAATTCCAGCTCTTATCCTTTCATTGGTTTAGATAACTTCAGAAAGGAAATATAAATGTGATTAGCAGTCTTTAACTAGCATCTGGATAGAGTTTGGTTTATCTTTGTTTGTCTCATTCCCTTTGAAAGGAGAACAAAGCATTCTCGAGCAAGAAACCATCAATTATTTGACTTTACTTCTTTCCTATACTGGCAATAAAAAACATTTCTCGTATGATGCCTGACACGTGCTTTGAAGGTGTGTGGCATGGTTTGGACAAGTGTGGGGAAAAGAAGCATTTCTGAAATCAGGAAGATTGACATTAGATGAGAACACCTTGAAGATTACTTCCAGTTACTGAAGTTCAAAACTCAGACTGTGGTGATAGTTACTTTAAATCTTTTTCTTTACTGGGAAATGAAGGCTTGTTCTAAAGTGTTTAAGGAATGTTTCCCAATTTCAGACAGCTCAGAGTTTAGAATATATGCATCATTTCACAGGAAACAATTCAGACTTTGGGAATGTTGGCTGGAGTAACTCAGGAAAAGAAGCTTTTAAAAACATGAACAATTTGCTAAATTTCTAAGTTTACATAATAGGAAAAAAAAAACCAGCTAAAACTTTTTTCCTGCTTAATTCTTTGCAGGGATCTCTAAAGAGTGATTAAGCATACCTGATGTGAACTCTAAGATAGATACCTTAGGTGAGCAAAAGGTGAATGACAAAACTTATTCCATCTGTCCCAAAGTTAGCTTAGAATTTGTTGATAGCCAGTTCTCCTTGACCTGTCCTGCCAGCCCCCATCTCCAGTGTCAAGATGCACAGCCTAACAGGTAGCTGCTGCTCGAAGAACCAGCCATGCTGCTTCGCACAACTGGAAGTGGAGCTCGTCTGACTCCACACTGAGCTGTGTCAGGCAGCTGGGTGGGCCGAAAACAAAGGGTACAGTTTCATGGTGCAGTTGAACTGAATTACCAGCTCCCAACCAACAAGAATGGAAAGGGAGGTTTGCTTCCTCCTCAATCTCCATTTTTTCCCTCCCTCCCCTGACTTCTAACAACATTGTCGTTGGAACTAGATGACCTTTTAAGGTCCCTTCCAACCCAAACCATTCTATGATTCTATGTTTGGTGTATTTCTGCTAGGTTTTCTGTCTTTTTAGTGAGTTGAATTGTCTTACTGTGTGGTCAGTACCACCACAGCTTGGTCAGGGTGAGCAGGACCTTCTCCCCGGGGGTGAGCTGTAATTCTGTTCAGACTGCCTTTGAAACTATGCCCTGACTTTACAAATAAGAAAGAGGTTTCTGCCAGTTCAGTTCCTTGAACTGACTCCTCACAGCATTATGTGTATGCCAATGCCAGCACTGGAAGAGATTAAATAATAAAGCAAAAATGGGGAGTGGGATAGGAATGCCTGTTTCAGCTAGCCATTTCAGCAGTTGAGCTGTGGCATGAAACGCTGCCTGAAAGTTTATCTTTTAAACATTTAAGTTGGTGAGGTTTTTTTCGCCAGTGTACATGCTCTTCAGAACAAAGGCATGTGGTTTACTGGAGGTGATTTAAGCTAAGGCGTTTCAGTACAGAGTAACATTGTTACAAATAGTGGATTTGTCAATTAGTGCCCTGGTGTTTAGGGTTCACCGAGTTAAATAAAGCAATGGCATACAAAAGAACCTACTACTGAATGTCTATGCAACTTGAAATTGCAAGTGTCAAAATATAAAACATCATGTAGTTAATCTGTAAATTCTTGTCAGTAGTACTCTTTAATTTCACGTTATAAAAAATAAAGATAGAAAATATAAGGGAATAATCCTGTAAAATGTATCACTTTTTCATTGTATGTAATTGCAAGTCATACTGGTTACAAAGGATGTGTTTGCAGTGCATGAAGTTGTGCAGTGATGTGAGCCATAGCCTCACTTATGCCATGTCAGGTAAATGAGGGAGGAACCTGCTTTTCATTAGCCTTTATTTTAGGCTAAAAGTGTCAAAAGACACTCGTCATTCACAGTTTTGTCTTAAAGTCCATGGAAATTCCAGCTCCTTGGGCCAACATTAAGATTACACTCTTCGCTTTAAGAGCTGTGATAAGTAATAAAGGACCTCAGTGCAACTCCTGACATGACCGAGGTGCTGTTGAGCCAGTTGCTGAGCAGTACTCTTTACTGCATGGTGTTTTAACACAAACGGTAAAGACAAGCTTCAGAATAAGGCACTATACTCTGGTGATTCAGCAACCAGTTCCAAAGTAGCATATCCACATGTACACTTCAAGGTTGATGATGAGATGGAGGATTAATTCAGTGGGGCGTTCCAAGCTATGCTGTCTCCGCTTATATGCGCTATTAAAGTCTGACCAGTGTTTCGGACTGGTTGCCTGCTTCTGAGACTTTGATGTTATCGGTGTTTTACCTCACTGGCAAGAGCCTGTAGTGGAACTGACTGTTAAGGAGTATTAACTTGCCAGTTACTCTTTTGTACACAAAGGAATTTCACCTGCTGAAGTGAAGCCAGCGTAAGATCCTATCCTCATAATCAGTGTAACCATAGATCAGGCCTGAGGTACATTGGTCTTAAGAAGTCACTGTGTTAAGAAAAAAAATCACTGGAGGGATATATTGGCATTTATCCATTTTAAACAGTCTTAAGTTTAGTTCTGTTTACAGGCTTGTTTCACTACAGAAGTTTAAAAATGCAATGTTGCAACAGTGTAAATGCACCAGTACATTTTATGCCTATAATAGGACAGTTTCTAACTTAACTCTGAGCTTTTAAACTTAATAATTTGTGAGTCAAAGCAATTAAAGTTTCACAGCTTCTCCATAAATGGGTTTATCAGTATTTATAACTCGAGAACTTTACACCTCTGCTTTATATCCTCAAAAACATGTAATTACAAGCCCAATACCCTCAAAAACTGAACTTGCAATTAAATAGAATAAATAAGGCTTTACCAGAAGGGTGGTGCTTCATGCCAAAAACCCTGAGTATATATATATATTTTATCGTTATTATTATTTAGTGATGGCTTTGAATGACAAAACTTTAACACAAAAATGTGAAGGCCTAATACCCCTTTCCTTTTGTTAAAGTGATAGGTTTTCTAAAAAGAATCCAGTAGGATGATTAATGTCACATCAAAAGAGGCCTCAAATTACCAGGTTCTAATGCATGCAAGAATATGCAGAAAAACTGAGTACATTCTTCCAATGCATCAATTACTGTTGTAAACACTATTTAAAAAAACTGCTTTCATAGTTCTTTCATAGCATAGCAGTTGCCAGTTGGTACTGATATTAATTATATCTAGGAAAGAACCTAGTTATTGTGTTAGTCAAAGGTTTTTTTCATAATTGTAAAGGTATACTGACAAATTCTATCTCTTCAATTATCCCATTTAAGTCTCAGAAATTGAGTTTTTAATATATATATATATACATGCACACACACTTTATGCTATTGCAATACTTTCATTGTAATATTTTTCTAGGCAATGGATTTCTGCTTATAGGTTGTAATAACTGCATGTCAGAGGCGGCTTGCTTAATATTTTTATTGATTACCAACATGGTTTTCAGGGCTAATCTTCTAAGTTATCAAGAGCTAGTGTATACTGTATCTCTACCAGCTTCTCTTCAGAAATTTTGCATTGCTACTAGTCATACAGTTGTAGCAAGAAGAATGTTTTTATTTTAGTAGTCTGAGCTAAGGAAACAACATGTTGCTAATTCATGCAAACTATTAAAAATGTTCTTTCAATTTTACATAGCAACTCTTCATTGTGGTCTGACCATAGTAGTTGCAGATTCTTACTCAAGTGAGTATATTCCTTTTCCATTTTATGCGTGCCCTATGTGCTCGTGCTCAGATGATTTGTCTTGCTTTGACAGCTGGTTCTGCGTCCATGGGCTGAGTTTCCTTGTGCTTATTCCAGGCAGTGTGAAGAGGCAGGACAGCTTCAACCAATTCTCCAGATTCCTCTTCATCATAAGAGTTCAGTCTTGTTTGCATGCCTGAAGTACTCTGTTCACACAAGTCTAGTTCAAATGAGAAGCAGATGGCTCTTTTAGATACAGTTTCAAAATTTCACTTCTAACGGTTTATGCTTCTCTGAGAGTTAGTTTCCCTATGGCTGGGGCATCATAGTTGAACACATGTGTATTCTTTCACTGCTTTACTGCAAGGTAAAACATGTTAGTTCTGCTTTCGGTTTTTAAGCTAACTTGTTTTACTAAAGTATCTTAGCTGTGAGGGCAGTTTCGGAGAACTAACTAGCAGGTGCAAAGTAATTCCTTAAAGCACATACCTCTTGATTCTGAAGGTCAGTGGTTTTGTCTCCTACCAAGACAACACTGTAGAAGCATGCCTCTGAGCTGTGGGATGATCTAACTAGCAGCACAGAATGATTGGATGAGCAACTGAAAAGCTCTTGGTTTGGTTTGAGATTTCTGTGTCTCAGCAAGTTTGGGATGTATAGGATTCATGCTTCAAGCTCATAGCTGATGAATTCATGACTATGATCAAGAACTTATGGAGTTTCAAGGTGAGTTTCCCTCTTATTTTTTCAATTTTTATCGTTAACTACTTGTAGGTAAGATAATTTATTTTTATCCGACATGCACTGTCAGGTGTACAGTGAAGCATTCTTAAAAGCTGTCCTTAGGTGGTGATTGAGACACTCAATGATGGACATTTAAGTGTTTGTTATGCTTTTTTGAGGTTTTTTTTTTTTTTTCTGAGAGCTATGCCATTTACAAGTCATTCTCTAAAGATTATAGTTGTTGAGAAAAACCTTTTTGAAGGTGCTTTCAATTGAGAGGTAACATTCTTCAAGTCCAGAAATAGCTGGATTTGAAAGTTCTTGTGAACACAGATTTCTTTCTCTTGGTTTTGAGAATCACATTTCAAAGAAAATCTTTTTGACCAGTAGAATTCTTCTGATTGGGGAAGGATAGGAGCATCACTTGTTTAGCAAATATTAATCTAGTCAGGCTTTCAAAGTCCGATGTAAATTCATTAAGTTTTTATTTAACAATCATCACCTTTAAAGCAATTTGATTCTAAACAGTTTGGCAAAGGATTTGCTTTCCACTGCCCTTTGGGTTTTCTTTAGTTTTGCTTATTTGGGGGTCGTTCAGACTGTATTGCTATGACTGAGTACGTGCTGGAGGTTGTGGCTGAGTAACACTATTCTGTTCCAAATTCCTTCCTACTTTTTTTCTCATCTCTAGTTTAGGATTCCTGCAAAAATAATACATCATCAAGACAGGGAATCTCTTTTAGATAACCTCTTCCACTGCTCTTAAGAGTAAAACAGAGTATACTTACATTGCTCCTAACAGCAAAAATAAAGGGTGCCTATGGCCAATTCTGGATTTGAGGGAGCTGAGTGTTTTCAATACTTCATTAGCTCTGTTTGATAACACTGAATTAATAATCCTCTGAATTAATGAGGTAAAAATACACGGTGTCTCTCATAGCCATTCATTGTGCTCACGTGAGAGAGATCTTGTTACAGTCAGGTGTTCACACCAATACAGAATTCTGTCGTAACCAGTACAAACTCTTGCTGTGCTGCTGGTGAGGATTTGGCAGCATGGCAAAGAACACAAAGTCCAGCATCTCAAAGATGAGATGCTATTTAGTTTGGTGTTGGGCCTTGAGAAGGTCAGTATCTGTTAACTGGAGGACTGAAATCTAAGAGGTTGAAATGTCTGTGCTGAAGAGTGTTTCTACTAGAGAATATGAGGGTTAGCTCTAAATAAGCTTATGTGTGTGAAACGTTTCTAACTGCATTGTTTTCCTTGCATTGTTTTTAAAAGTAGCTTTGACTATTAAGGTTCTTATAATTAGAAAATAATACTCTTCCTAGAAGTAGGAGGTGAGGCAAGAAGATAGATTCCTGTCAATCTCCTAATTGTACAGAACTCAGCTTATGGACCAGAAGTCTCTGCTAGGCCACTTCACCATCATAAGTGTTGCCTGTTTTGTCCTGTGACTGTATGTTGCTTTTTTCATCTTCTGTTTCTTGTTTCTTCATCAGGTTCATCTGTAAGGTCCAAAAATAAGTGAGTGTAAGCTCCAAGGCTCATCTTGCAACAATTTATAGAGCTGTGGGAAAGTATGGGAGACCAGATGGCTTAAGATGATGTGAATTTCTGCTGCTGTGGAAGGGTGTGATCTACAGTTCCCCTCCACCACTGGTACAGCAGTAGCGTTTGCATGGTAATGTAGCAAGTGCAAGTCATTCTTTGGGCTGAGAACTAACACGGACAAAAATAAAACTTTGCTGCTGGCTGTGAAGTCACAGATGTACCAGTGCTGGCACCGGGAGAGAGGCTGGAAACTCAGGCCAAGATACAGGTTAAGGCTAGCCCTTTTGGTGACAGAATGGTTTTGAATAAGGTAGTAATGAGTCTGCAACATTAAAAAGACAAGACTTTTTTCCTTGTTAAGACACTAGACAAAGTACTCATGAAGGCTTGGAGAAATCAGATCTCTCCATCTTTCATTTACTGAGTTTGTGGCAAAAATATTAATGTGTTGATATGTTAATTTAAAGTAATTGTATGACACAGAACATTAAAGAGAATCTTTAATTCTAATTTTGCAGTGCCACAGATATGATAGGTAAGAATTTTTTTAATTCTTCATGTCTGAGTTGATTTCTGTAAAAGTTATTTTCCAGATTTTGCTTCCTGTGCAAGTTCAGTATTTGGCTGTAAGCTTTTGCTAAATGAACAATAAATTAAGCTTTTCTTTTCACTGTGCTGTATTGTTGATTTCTGTGTGCTGCTGAGTTGGTGCAACACAGCTATAGCAGTAATAATTAGTATTCAGTATTCTTGCTGGAACATGCTAATTCTGCAGGCTGAAACAGTAGGAGTTTTAGAAAAGCATAAAATAAAATTAAAGTAGCTGTAGGCTTTGTTGGTAAATACGACTAAAATTGAGAAGGTCATAATCATACTTTGCTATGGGAAAGATTATAGACCAGGCTTTTCTGATGGGAAAATGGTATTGATGTAGTCTAATTTCTTTGGGGAAAATAATGTAGAAAATGCTAGAGAGTGATTGAAGGACGGAAGATGTTACTGCTGTCTCAAAAGGCTGACATAGGGGAACATGTATTCTCCGTAAAATTGGTTTAAACTGCTCAAAATAAGCTTTCTTGTGCATAGCTCTTTAAACTGGACACTCAGTGAGGTAAAACTTTTAAAATTAGGTAGTTGTTTAGTGTGTCCTTGAAAATACCTGCACAATAGACCTATATGGAGGCAGTCAAAAGATTTTGCAAATCAAAGTGCTTTCAAAATATTGGGAATTTTTTGCAATTGCAAGCAATTGTTGTTTTGATAGCTAAGAAAATAGTTTAGTTGTAGTTGTTAGTTGTAGAATATTCAAGGTGGGAAGGGACATCAGGAAGTCTCTAGTCCCAAACCCCACTCAAAGTGGTATCAGACTAGAATTTCAGCATTTTACTTAGTTTACTCTTAATTTTTTGCAAAATATCATCATATGCAAAATATTTCTGGTACATCAAATTGTCACAAAGCAGTAAGATCCTCCTCTGAAATAACTTTTTGCAAAACGTACATCTCCCTTACCCAAAAGTGTGTCTGTCTTGCTAAACAGTTCTGTAATTTGCTTTTAAGAGGTTAAGCTTTCCTTTTTAGCTTTTTTGTTTTTTTTTAATAAAGTAATACTAATTTCTGTCACTGTGTGTGTAAACAATGCAATATCTTGTTGCTAGTAAGTATTTTATTTAAAAGAAGAAAACATCTGGTAGAATACATTGGCTGACTTGAAAGTGCTCTTTGCATAGTGATTGTGCTGCAGCTCGGGGCATGCAGAAGTAGGTTAATAGAATGCTGCAGCAAGGGCGCTGACATGTATTAGATCTTCTAAGGTGATAATGCTTTTCAACATAAGCTTCAGTCTCATATGTTTTATGCATATGCCCGTCATCTTTTGTCTTAATTTAACTAAATGCAGCATGCTGGTGGGTGACTAAGAATGGTCTGCAGTGCCCAAATATTTCCATAGTCTTCTCTTCCACACATCGATCAGGGTTTAGTATACCACTATGCACACTTGCAAGGCCTGCAATTCTTGCCCTAGTCAAAACAGATCTCTCTTTCCAATTATAAGAGCAAAATGAGCTTTTTATTTTCATAGTTGATTGGGAAAGTTTAGAGATCACTGGGGTGGGAGATAGTTCCTAGGATTTCTAGCAAAGTTAGAGAGTGAGAACCAACTAGCTATATATACAGTTTTTCTACATATGTAACTGCTGTCATTAGCATTCTGACTTTTTGTATGCTTACGCAGCACCATTCCTGCTTAATAAATAAATAAATCTTTTATACTGTGTAAAAAATCCTTTGTACTGACACCATTTATTCTTATGTTAATACAGGAATATGTGGGTTGGTATTAAACATCTTTATAACTTTGTCTGCAATGAGGAGGCTGTATAACCTGGGTACATTGTGTATTTGAAACAAAGCAAATTTAGTATATAGACACATCCTTTAGTGTACGAGTACTGTCTTTGTTCATACAAGGAGTAGGTGTTACGGTGTTTTTAATAAAGCTTTTGTCAGGAAAATCAAGTGTTTATGGTGCTTCATAATTTGTATATGTTCTTCTTAAGTACTGCCTAGTGAATATTTGTAAATCGATATGCAAACAAACAAGACATACCTCTGAATGCTTTACACTGCATTAATGTAGTGTTACATCCTACAAAATTCTTCTTATGAAGTTTTGGACTTCTTATGCTGTAACTACAGTACTGATAACAAAGCAGCATCTTTTTTTAAACATGTTTATTTTCTGCCTCCCAAGTAGTGCCTCCTATTAATTCAAAAAATTGACCTTCAAGCATTCCTATTAATACTGAAAAATCAGTATGAGCTCAGAAGTTAGATTCCCCCCCTTGATTTGCATTAACAAAACTGGCTCTGTTCCATTTTTTAAGATGTTATTTATGTCCCTGCTGATGTCATGGTCAGTAATACACTTCTGTTCTCACAGGGAGTTTATTATATTGCTGCTCTTTGGGAAAGCAGAGGAGGAAAAATAGAAAGTCTCTGTGTGAGTTATTTGAGTAAAAAGATACAAAATTTTACAAATAGAAAACAAATTATTACTTTTATAGTATAATCAAACTTTAAATTCTGCAGGGTTGTCACTTTCAGACAACAATGAACATACTTTACTTATGTGAACTGTTTTTTCCCCAAGATATTTTTACTTTTGAGGCTATAGATGTTAAGCATCTTCTTTCCTTTCTTTGACAGGAAATTCTGGTGATTAAAGATCATGGCAACCATAGAGGAACTGGCCCATCAAATTTTTGAACAGCAAATGGGAGAGGTACATAAATTTTGAGTCCTATTTAAGAGACATTGAATGACTGATATGTAAAAACCAAAATTAGAAGAGAAAGTAATTTTTAGTACACCCAAAGCTTCCAGAGACTCTCCCATGGAAGACTAGAACTTATGTCCATTTTAAAGTTATGCTGCAAAGTCTTTTTTGCCAAAGTTTGCCCCACAGAAATGAAGCGAAGGAAAATCTAGCAGTGTTTCCAGTAAGTGACTAGCTGTTCAGCTCTGCTTTTTGGGCCTGTGGTGGTCTTCAGAGAGCTGTCTGGTTGTATAATTGATTTGCTCACTTTCAGAGTTGTCAGTACATAGCTTTTACTTTCCAACTAAGCAATTGCTTCAGTTGTCATTTTTGTTTTCACTAATAAAGGTTTGCCATGCTCTTCACTGTAAAATGTTTGTTGGTGTTTGGTATAAGTCACGAGGAAGATTGAACTTTTGTTTCTGCTAACTTCTGGTTTTAATTTTCTGTAACCTGTGTGCAGAATCTGTGTACTGCAGCCAGAGAACTTCCAGAGATGCACAGATAGTTTGGGAGTGGGGATAAGAGTATATATACTTATCTAGAAGATTTCATCATAGCATAATCTATTTAAAATCAGCACCAGTTTAAATTACATAAAAGCAGTAACTTATTTATCTTAAATAAATTGTATTTTTTAACTTGAAGTATCCACTCTTGATTTCTTGTCTAGACATAGACATAATTTTCAAGTAATTTTAGTTCCTCTCAGTCTTGATTTCAAATAGAAAGGGGGTGGCGGGATGGTTAATTCTATTCTGTACAAAGTCTTATGCTTTTATTGTAGCCTCTGAGTGTTGCTAAGTCTATCTCAAAGGACGTAAGTGATTTATGTGATGTATAGTGTTTTCTTTTTCTCACTTGTCCTCTTTGTAGGTGAGAATGGTGTGTCTAGTGTAGTTTTGTTTTAGTAATATAATTCCTTGTGGAGGTCTAAATAGGGCTGTATTTCCTGGGTTTTCTTGTTTTGTTATTTTTTTTGAAAGTACAGGCTAGTCAAAGCTAGCTGGAGTGTACGTTCCAGTCAGAAAAGAGAATGGTGTGATGATGGTTTTTAGCCTCTCTGAGGGTTGTTTCTCAATTTTATAATACAATTCCATGAGACACTGAGCTGACTTAGTATCTCAGTGCCATGGGAGAGGGAAGGTCCTTCTTCTGTTTCTTACCTTACTTAGCTTGCTGTTAGTGTAGAAATTAACCCAGCCAAAACAAGTGGAAGGTTTTCTGCTGGGTTAGTGCATTGAGTGGGGTCTGAGAAGGCTCTAATGAGTACCAGAGCCAGCGGAAAGGAGGTGGCTGGTAGGCAAGGGGAGGCAGGGGAGAAGACGGAGGGATTGGAGGTGTGACACTGCAGAGAGCTGTTGGCTGGTCCTGTTCATGGTGAAACTGCAGCCTTAGAGTTTTCATGGATATCATTTTGTCAGCAGTGTAGATTAGGATTTGTCCTTTAGCAAAGTTTTACTGAGCCTGAGACCGTCACCTCTTATTTGGCAGCAGTGCGGCTTAAGTGTTCCCCAGTCCTCCCCTAGCCACTTCTTCTCATACCATGCTAGTCTGGCTTATGTAAGCTCTGTCTCTGCATGGTGGACAAAACTGAAAAAAAAAAAATTATGGGATAGTGGAGGAAGGTCTTCTCCCTCCCAGTTGTGGTCAGTTCCCTTATCTGGTGCAAGGTGCAGCCCAACCTGGCATGTGGTTAGAAGGACTGAAAAGCATCGCCCGGGGCAGTGCAAGGTGGGACTCCGTAAGCCAAAATTACTTTCAAACTTGCATGCCATGCATGAGTGCACTGCATGAAAGGTGGAGTCAGCAAGTAAAGCGGTCTTACAGGGGCCTTTGTGTAGTATCTTACGTTCCAACCTACCTGTGACCTACTGGCTGTAATTGCTTGGTGGTGTTCCTATTCAATGTAAGCATTGAAAACCACAGTTTAAGGTCTATGGAACTTCAGTGGTATTTTTGCTAGCATTTATAATTCTCTTCAACGTTGAAATAGTTTTAATTGAATTTACAAGAAAAATCTACATAAGTAGAACATGAAAGGAAAAAGACAGGTGTTCCCATTCTGAGGAGAATAGAAAGTGCTCATTGAAATAATGGTCAAAAGTGTTCTGTGACATAGGTTTTGATTTGTTTATAATATTAATTCTTGTTCATGAAGCATTTTAAAACACAAAATTATCACAAACGGTTTTATGATAATGTTCACAAACATGTATTTGTTAGTTTAGGGCTTTTTAGCATAAAAGCAAAACTTATTAAGAAGAAGAATTTATAGCCCTGCCTATATGGAGCATTGCACAATGTTTATCTTTTCTCAGATTCTGCCAACTGCTAGGCATCTTTTGCTGAGTGTGGGATAATTCATGTTTCTACATCAAGATCACATTCCTTGATTCATGTAGGGAAGTTGTCTGTCAAGAGCCTGCAGCAATCTTCTTTCTTTAATCTGTGGTTGGGTACGCTAAGTAATTGGTGGTTTGTTTCCACAGTTGTGCCAGGTAACAGTAACAGAGGAAAGCTATGTATTTGAAACAGAGTCTGTCATACAAGTACAAAATATAATTTTAAAAAAATATTGTGGTTATTCTTATCAGTATTTTTTTTCACTGCAATAAAAAGAACTGTATTCTGTATAGAAGTAAAACTGTCAAGCTGGCATTTTATAGGGTTGAAGAGCAGTTTTACTTATACAGCATGTAGATCATGACATTTTAAGGGAGCAAATGTAAAACAGTCCTGGAATATGTAGCTTATTTTGTAAAGCAAAGATAAATTCACATAAAACTCCAATTGCCTGTAAATCACCATGTGTTCATGTCATTTGAAAGGCTGATGCAGAATTTCAGTGGTTGAAAGCATCTCTTCCAAACTGTAAATGTTGCTGTATAATGAACGCTTCTTTGTCCTTTACTTAACCAAAGAAGCAGATGAAGTGTTTGAATATGGAAAGTATTCATGCTCATGAAAAATCGGGTATTTTTAGAAAGCAGTGTTCGAAAATGGCTTGGGCAGTGGTTTGACAAGCATTTCTTTTGATGGTGCTGGCAGTTTAAGCGATCCCCCCAGCTGCTTAATCCCACTCTCTCATTTGCTCTGATGCGTCTGCTCCTGAGCATTGTGGAGATCTGGATAGAAGGTTTGAGCTATGCTAAGAATAGCCTTTGTTTGTCTGTCTCTTGGCTGGGCTGCTTTTTAACCTGCATCAGTGTCCTATTCCAGATCACTGAATGACTAACCAACCAGTTTCACTTACCAAGCTGAAGGGGTAGGAGCAAGTAGGTTATGAGAGCTGAGACTGGTAGCAAAAGTAATGCCTTTATGGGTAAAATTTCAAAATCAGCTTAGGCTGATGGGAGCTTCTGTTTCTGCTGTAAGGGGAAGTCTTACCCACCGCGCCTTCCCCTTCTCATGCTCATCTCCAACTGCATCTTCTTGCCTCCTTTCTTCTGCTGGTACTAGCATTTGCATGGCGGTATGGTTGCAAAATCAGGAAGCTGATCCAGGAGGAACAAAAAAGTTCTCAACCTGTTATGAAACAGTACCTTTACTGCGATATAGATATATATTTTCTATATTAATTCTTGGGGGGGGGGGCAGTTGAAGAGGAGCATTTTTATGGTGGTGTAAATACTGGGAATTATTATTAATACAGAATTGCAGCATGGTCCAGAGTTTTTGAACTGCAAAAAGTTTGCGGAGTTACTTGGGAATTTAAGACAAAAATTTCAGTTTGAAGGTATCTGTAAACTCTGTGAAGACAAACTTCCTTTGTACTACAAAAAGTCTGGCCTTTCTCTTCAAGCCTTTACAAATAGCAGCTGTACTTCTTAATTTTTACTGACAAATAATGTAATGAATAATACCTTCCCCTATATACCTATGGCTAAAGCATGTAAAGAATTTTAAAAATATTTATAATCATTAAAACACTTCCAGAAATTGTGTCTGAGAGCATTCACACAGAGATTTAAATTTGGGTTAAGATACACTGCCTGCCAACATTCATTTTCTCTAACTTTCTTGATAGTTCCCCAGGATAGAATTCTGTTGTTCTGGTTTTGCTGCTTTAACAGAAAGACAGAACAGAAAAGGCCAATTGCTGTGTTTCCACACTGAAAATTCTTTTGTCACTTTAAGTAAGCCATTAAGGTAAAAGTATTTTAGTGTAAATGTAGCACAGCTATGATGAAAGGTATTGTGTCTCATGAACATCAACAGTAATAAATATTCAGTCTGATTGACTTACATGGACTTGTCAACAATTAATTGTTTTACTTAAAGTGTTTCTAAATTTCGAATTGGAAGGTATTTCAAAATGGGTTTAAAACAGTGAAACAAACAATTTTCTAACTAGCAAAATTAAGCTATTAAATTAGATTACAAGCATTTGTGTTCCTTATACGGTAAGAGTGTTAGACTTCCCATAGCTTTGTGCAGAGAAATGAGAAGTTGGTGAAACCTTAAGGTTTCCTCCGTTAAGATAGTGTATCCATCCTTCAGGTAGTGTATCCACTGCCAATCCATTACATTTGTTTCTTCTTTCTAGGTTACCCATTCCCAGGGAGCTGTTACACAAACACTAATGGATGGGACACCACAACGAATACAGATTGTCCCTGCAGATTCAGGCCTCTCTCTACCACAACGTATACAGGTATGCTTCATCCGATATATTTTAAAAGCAGATATGAACTATTTATTTCTGCAAGTTTTCACATACGGTTCTTTCTTATTTGGTTCATATTATTTGCTTGAATGTAAATATTCAGCCCTGGGTGGCAGAAACCATTTCTATAGAAACAAGAATTCCAGTGCTTCCCCCTTTTTTTTTCCTTTTTTTTCTCCTAAGAATTTTAAGATTGCAAAAAATTACAACCACTGAACAGAAAAAGACTTTTCCCAATACTGTAATGATACTGCTCCTTAAAAGCTGAATAATTTTTAGATTTAGTAATTCATCTGAGTTGTTGGAACATATCTACATTTTGGAGGAGGGAGGGAGGGAAATACTGCATTGTATTGTCAATACAAATCATGAAAAAGTGCAAGGCAACCTAATGTCTGAGAAGGATACTGGTTTTTGGTTGTCCCAACCAATGTTATATGTCCTGGTGTGCTAATTCATAGCCTGGCCAGGTAACAATCTCCAATTCAAGTGAGGGTATGAAGTTTTTGGCAATGTAGGTAGTTAAATCAACATATATATGTGTACATAGAGATGAAGAGGATTTGGGGAATGGAATTTTATATTTCATCCCTTAAAAGTCAATGCAAGTCCTTGCAAACATTTTATTTTTAAATTTCATCCTGGAGAAAAATATCAGCTGCAGAATAAATTTTTAAAATATTCTCAGATATATGTTGTTGCATACAAAACCACTAATTTAAGTGAGCCAGCTGCTAGTATAATCTTGGCTGATTTTTCTTCTGCTGGCTTCACTCTTCAACATTTTCCACTGTTTTTTCCCATTTCAGTGCACTGCATTCAAGCTTTTAACCTTCCAAGACTCTTCACAACCGCCCTCCCTTACATGATCTTTTGTTTTGTTTTATCACCCCCTACCTGTGGTCTAGTCCTGGTACCAGTCTCATCTATCCAGTAGATCTTCAGTCTTTCAGCTACCTCCACTCCTTTTCTATGCTTTGTGTACAGCTGTACCTTCCATTATCTAATTTATGTGAATCAATAAACAGCCATCTCTTTATCCTCTGTTTTCATTGTTAATACCTGTATGCTAATGAAGTCCCTGTAGCGTGGTGAAGCCATTTAATGTGATTTCAGCATCAGGGTCTGAATGTGGGACGAGGACATAAACCCCATGAGCCTTTATTGTTGAACAGCAGGACAGTTCTGTTGGTTCAAAGCCAGTGGCAGACATCTAACCCTTCTGTGTCAGGTTTTTTGTGGGGGGACAACTACTTTTGGTTGGGCACTGTAATTACTCCAAATGATCAACATAGAAGAATTGTATTTCTAGGGACAGGGACCTTTATATAGTTTTTCATTGTCTCATGTAGCTGGAAGATCACTTGTTTCTAAGCCAGCTACTTTGCCCCTTGTCTTTTTCCACCACACTCATTGATTCTTGCTTCAAAGTGGATGGTGAGTGCTTTGAGGCGGTGGGTTGTCTCTTGATATGTGTGGAACAGCACTCAGTCGAGTGGCATCCTTCCTGCAACAGGCATCTACAAACCTGTCACCAAAATCAATAATAATAAACTAGGTATGAGATAGAACTTAGTAATGAGAACTTTCCTCAAAGCAGAATTTATGTGAAGAGTAAAGCGGTTTGTAGGAATGAGTACATCTCAGTGAAATGTTCAAAATAAATGTTAAATTGATCATTTTGAGTTTATATTTTCAAGCAATATTTTTTCCTTTATTTTATTATTGTTAAATGCACATAAATAATTATCTGAAATCTTGAAACACAAAATCCTCAGTAAAATGTTCTTTAAAACATGTTTCATTAGTCATCCTTTTTATGGAATGATAACATTTCTCTAGGATAAAAGTCGAACGTCACATTTGTTGTTAAACAGACATTTTTGTTCAAAACTGGCTCTGTTATAAACAAGTGGATTAGTCGTCTGTGTTTGGACACTTTTTTTCCCCCCCTAAAATAGGAACACAGAATTATTGAGGTATTTAATTTATTGAAATGATGTTCAAATGGAAGTCAAAACTTGTTAGTGGACAAAGCTTAATTAAAAGCAATAAAGGAAAATACTATCCGCCATTATCGTCAGGGTGCTTAAAGGAAATACATGGGGGAACTATATTTTTTAAGCAGACAATCCTGAATTAATATATTCCTGTTTTAGAACATTATCCCTTTAGCGATACTGAATTTTAGATTATTAAGAAACATCATGTGTTGTCACTGAGCCCTGATGGATTCCCTTGAGAAGATAAGTGGTTTTCTTTTTCCCTCTGATTATTTCTTTCTCTTATGTCAACATTTAGGTACTGCAAGTTGTTATACTTTGGTGAACTGCTCCACTTTTCAGAGTCCCACTGCAACTTAGGTGGAGTTTTTGCAGGTATATGGCCATACGAGGTCAGCTGCAGACAGACTGGGCTTAATTGTTTAAACTGCTTTCTCTTATGCTCGGTCAGTTGTCAAATGCTTGACAGCTGCAGAAACTATTTGTGCAGATTGAATAGCTTTGTATGGATATTAAGGTAACACTAGACCTACTATATCATGTAGTGAAAACTACCTGGGCATCCTTCTAGAATTGCAGGAAGCCATTTGAAGAATTAGGACACTATTTGTTAAATAGGAGGTGAAGTGAATTGTGTGAAGTAGAAATGGTTCTTCTGCCTACTGTACTGCCATATTTATCTACAAATACATACCTTTTTTAAATTATAGACCTGGACTACAATAGTAAAAAAGATAATTTAGCATATATATCCAAAAAAATCATTTCAACTTCAGTTCAGATTTTCATCTTCACTGTTTGGGATGTGCTATTTTTTTAGTTAGTTTTATACTATACTTTGTATAAACCTAAGTAGATCAAGTATATTTCTTTTTTGATGTACACATAGTTGCACTTTTAAATTTTGATAGGGAGATTTTAGATAAGAGTGTCTTTCAAAGAGCAGGTCTAGAAATTCAAGAAACAGCACAATATTCTGTGTTTGGCTTTTGTATGCGTGTGCACCCTGTTGAGGATAACATGCATTGGATTTCTCCTAATCCCAATAAAGTAGATGTGTTTGGAGGGGAAGGGAAGGGACCATCAGCTACTTCGAAAATACCGGAAATGACACAGGAGAAATAAAGTTTGTCAGTGAAGAAAAAGGTAATGGAAGGAGGAGGTTAGGCAAAGAAGGGAATTAAAAGGGCAAGGAAGTTTGCCTTCTAAAGAATATAGAACCAACATAAAGGAATTGAAAGGAGAAATAAGGAACTACTGTAGTCATTTGTGGTCCCGGACAACTGAATGGGAAACCCTGTATTAATCATGTTGATAACTATTGTGAGCTTTTGCATTGTCTTCCCACCCTACACCCCAAATCTCATGATAATTTACATTCTTTTCTTATATCTTTAGCATCTGGAATTTTATCATCTTACCTGAACTTCTCTGTTAAATAAGCTTTTAATTGTGTTTTGCAGAGAAAAAAATTGAAATTTGATCCATTAAAATGTTAATAGCAGAAGGCCACCCAAAGGAAACACGTTCCTTTTGTATATTTTGAAACTCATAATTTCTGAATATTTGAAAGTGGCAATATTGATTTATAACTGCTGAAATTAGATACTCAATAATTTTTATCTCTCACTGCTTATCTTTTTAAAACATAAGCTATACACAGGTTTTTGAAACAAATTTAAGTATATTGAACATATAGAAAGTAGTAAGCTAGTTGTGAAGGTGCAATAGCAAATTTGATAAAGACTTGTGTGAAATTATGCCTCATTCAGTTTCTTTGTGCCTCTGTTTTCCACCTAGAAAATATAATTAATAATGCTGCCCTAATTACATGAAACTAGTTATGATAAGTGTTAGACCATAAAATAAATAATTTCATCAGTAATAAAGACCATATAAATGTTAGGGATGGATAGATGGACGTAAATGTTTGGTTATAGGTACAAAAAAAAAATAGGATCTATTTTATTGATCTGTAATTCAAAAAATAGTTTGCAGGAAACAGTCCTTGTAGGATGATTCTCCTTATTCTCCAGAATAAACGAGGCAGTCTTCCATGTAGGCCTTTTGGTGGAGAAAAGCAGCAAGTGACTAAAAGTGAGATTTATAATTGAAGATTTATGGAATCTTGATTATTTTCTCTGAGGATTATAATCTTCTGACAAAGATGGCAAAAAATGGAGTTTAGTGGAGGATTATTTAATAAAGTGCTGCTGTATTTGTGCTTGAAAATAGGGATAAAATGGAAAAAACAGTCTGTAGGTCTGTTCTTGATAATGAAATGAAACATGAAAATAAGTTTTTCCTTAAAAAAAAAAAAAAAAGAAAAAATGGCAGGGAGAGAGATTCTGGTTTACTTTATTTAGGAATATCTATGTTAAAAAAAAGCCCCCCCCAAAATGAAACCTAAAATGTATATATAGGTGCAACAAGATTATTGCTTTTCTTGCTGTTTGATGCTTACTTTTTTCACTTGGAAGTCTACATTTGTGTTTTTAAGAAGTTTTTTGTTAAGCAGCCAAACCTGGGAGGTGCTAAGCACCTCACATGGTATGCAGTGAACTCAAGAGTTAAGATTTCTCATAACCTGATGGGTCCTAGGGCTGAGCTACAGACATACCTCAAATTCTGGATGCTAGAATTGTCAAGGGTTTCAGTAGTGTTGTACAAGCATGGGCCAATTGTAAAACTTGAGTATGAACTCAGGTTTTGACTTCAAACACCCCTGATTGAAATGTGTTTAAAATACAATGAAAATCCAAGGTTTCGCCTGAGTTTACTTCACTCCTGTGTGACAGAGGGGAAGATGATCCTGCTTCACAAATGTCAAAAGCAGAATTCCCGTTTTCTTCGAGTGCCCAGATTGGGCCCCAAAGGTGAACTTAAATTACCATAACAATTTGAGATAAATGTATTATTAGATTGTCACAGATCAGCAGACGGGCCAGAAGATTCAGATTGTTACAGCACTTGATCAGAGCTCAGCAGGCAAGCAGTTCATCTTAACAAATCATGATGGCTCTACCCCAAGCAAGGTGATCCTTGCCAGACAAGATTCCACTCCAGGAAAAGTTATCCTAGCAACTCCAGATGCTGCAGGTGTCAACCAACTGTTTTTTGCATCCCCTGATATATCTGCACAACACATCCAGGTAGATAATCCACTTTATTTCATAATTTTGATTCAAATGGGATAAGGAGAGTTGTTTTATTTCCAAATATGTCTGTTTGGGTTCTCCTTTTTTGAGGTTTTTTTAAAATGATATACTTTTCCTTGTACTAGGACACAGCATGGATACTTAGAAATTATGAAGAAAACTTTTTTTTTTTTGGTAAATTTATTGCTTTTAAAATTTATACCCTGGCTCATGACATTAGAAAGAATACTGTTATTTTTATTGTCATTTCCAGCTCTTGCCATACTAACAGTCCTTCTTTATTTCTGCTTCATTGACTCTCCATCTGTTTTCATGTATTGTTGAAAAACTTACTCTTTTCTCTATTGTCTTATCACTTAACATTTCCTTCTGCTTGTTTTCCTTTTTGTACGCTGTTGTAACTACTGTTCAGCTGTGTGAATTGTACTCCAAGGTAGTTTCTCAGAGAGACTATTCAGCAGGGAAGTAAATTATTCAGTGGGGGTGGGAAAATAACACTAAAGATTTTGGGTTTACAAACGTGAGATTGTAACTAGTCAGGGTTGTAACTCCCTAAACTGGCCCCCTTAGTCCTCACGCGCCAGCTTCCAAGCTTTCTGCCCCATTTCCTCACCTGGCAAGGATGGGATGGCACTGATGTGATGAACATGAAGAAGATGCGCAGAAGACTTGCAAGATGTGAGCTCCTTCAGCATGAAGTAGGAGATTACTGCACTCCAGCTAAAGTGTAGTTATTGCATATTGTTTAACCATGTACGTTTATGCTGCTGTTAAAATACACCAATGTGGCAGGCCAGGCAGCATTAGGATAGCTACAGTCCCTTTAGTCCAGTATCTTACACTTAAATGATGGCCAGAAACAGTTGCTTAAGGAAAATTATTAAAAACTGGACAAGCAAATAATCATCATTCTGAGCATATCCTTTCAATTCCATTAGCTGATGATTTAGAGCAACCTCCTGATTTGCAGATTGCAGTGAGACCGTCATATTTGATGGCAGCCACTAAAGTTTAACAACCTTTTTTGTTATTTATATAGACCATATATGCTTTGGTCTGTATAATCCTATAGTATAATTGTATGTTGTACAAAGAATACTTCAGTTCATTTGGTCTTCTGAGAGAAGTATTTAATTAAGTGCCTCTTGCACTGTAAGAAACAGCTATAAAGGATCCTATTGTTTTTATAAATCACTATTATATCCTCTTTCAAGTAATCTCTTTTCAGCTGAAGACCTCTGATCTTTTTAATTTGTGCTCTTCTGGGAGCCAGTCCACTACTCTGATTCGCTACCCACAAGTTGTGTAAGCTTGAAACATCTCTCTGTATTATATATTACATACTTTTTTTTGAAACTCACAAATCTTTGCAAATGGACATCCAAGGTCCTTGCTCCAAAGATTTTGATTGCTATGAATAGGAGAGTGGTAGCAAATCTCAATCCTATTGAGTGGCATTTAAGCATGTTTATACACTTTGTATTTTAGGTAAACCTCAACAAAAGTATAAACAATTGGGATATGATTTGAAGTAATCCATATTAAAAAAATTATTTCCCAAGGCAACTTAAGAGATGAGAAATGTGACACATTGGTTTAAAAGGCAAAATTCAGGAATGGAGGAAGTTTGGACAAAAAAATTGAAAGCTCTAGTTCTGATTGTACAGTTTGGGCAAAATAGGTTAGTTTGAGAGGCAACAGAGTATTCTGTCACTTTAGTTAGATTGTTCTGTTGTCAGCTAATATGTATGGGTGGAGATTTCTTTTTTCCACTTAAAGTTCGTGAAATACAGAGTACCATTTTGTTGTTCAACTCATCCTCTTTGGGATCTTTCATATTTTCTCCCCTAAATGATCTTTTCATCTGCAGTTTCACCCTTTTTGTTGTTCTTCTGTAGCCTTCACTTGAAATGCCCATTCATTTGCTCTGCAAAAAAACTCTGTATTGCATCTTATCTTTACATTGACTCATTTGGCAAGGCCCTTTCTCCCATCATCTATTTTACCTTCAATGGCTCTTCTTCATCTTAATAACCGATTTTTATTCTTCATGTTCAAGGTCAGTTGATGAGTTCTCTGAGTCTGGGATTTTTATCTCCTCATGGGCCCAATTCTGTAGTCCTTCCTTATGTGGAACTTCCCATTTCAGTGCAGGTTTCATTTATGGAAGGACTTAGAGTTTGTTTATATATATTTTATATAGTGTCATGAAAATACATAATGTTAATAATGGAAATTAGGAAGGAATGAAAGGTTAATATTCTTTTAACTCATCAATATTATTTTTCTTAAAAAGGTGTTATATTAAAACAAAACTTAATAGATGAATCTCTGAGACAGTATTGTTAACAAAAGCTAACTAGAAAGAAGTATGCTTGTTAAACATTCCCATATATGTCACCTACACTCTCTTCCAAACTTTCTAAAAAAAGTGATTTCTTAGTTTTCTCTATAAAAGACAGGGTACTTTCTCTTTTGGTAAGTTGTCTTTCTTTTTATCAGAAGAGTTTTGAATATGCAAAGCAAGAATGAGAGAGTCTGACTTCCCAGTAAGACACAGGAGAAGTTAGAAACTCTTAAAACTTTGAAACTATAATCTGTTTTTAATGTGAAGAATAATTTTTTTCTTTTCTGCTTTACATAATTGTCAAGATGATGTTTGGTTGTTACTCATGATATGTGTGTTCCTTTTTTAACTTGAATTTTTGCGGTGCTTTATTTATGTCAGTGGGATGGAGTTTTCAAAGATCAAATGGAAGGCTATAGTGCCTACCCTGTAGTGCTGGGGTTCTAATCGTGTGCTGAATTAAGCTTTACAGGTACCAGAGATAAATGAATGAGACAAGACAAGAATACTGTAATAATGTCAAACTGTTACTGAAAGCCAAACTATATACCACTTGATAGTTAATGGTAGTGTCCAGAGTACATTTTCTGTTGGCGCACCATTTATGTGTATTATAAAAAAAGGGGTTAATAAACCTGAATGTAGACATAGTAGCCTTCACAAGGGATTTTTTTGTTCAGTCTGTTTAATGCTTCAGACTCTTTTGTACTATGAACAAGTCATTAGGATATAAAATACAAAATTGAACAAAAGGTAAGAATATGCAGATGCTAAATGTTTTTCAAAATGTCAGACCATTTTGCAGTATTAGTATTTAGAGAAATGGAATCTTGAATTCTTTTCAGAAATATTACAAGTAAAATTTTGTTCCATCCTGAAAAGAAACACAGTAGCATGGCAGGTAGCTCCTTTGTGTCTATGAAGACTGTAAAATGTAGGCAAGAAAACCTTATACTTTGTAGATTTGGTTCCCTGTCTTAGAGAAGAACCACAAGCATGAGATATATTTTAATCTTTCTTCATGTTAAGAAAAAGAAAAATGAAATATGAAATTCTTTCACACTTTTTTCCAGATTTTAACTGACAACTCCCCCAATGAACAGGGCCTAAACAAAGTGTTTGATCTGTGTGTTGTGTGTGGAGACAAGGCATCAGGTTTTTTCTTTTTTTTTTTTTTTTTTTTTTTTTTTAAGGTCATGCAATTTTATAAAAGCAGTTTAAAATTCTTCTGATGCTATATAACAATTTGCATGCATATACATGTATATATCTCTCTATACATGCACAAACAGAAAGGATACACTACTCTTACCATTATTAAAATCATAAAGAAGCATTATAATTCCAGTAAAAAATAAGCTTAAGAACGGTATATTCATGTATTGCCAAAGTAGAGTGCTAAGGTAAGAAAAGCAAAATGTTTTCATGCACTAAATTTTGTGTAATGATACTAAGAGACTGGAAAGAAATATAGTGGGAGCAGTGCACCGGAGAACTCCATCTCCCACATTCCCTTTGCATGTGCACCTGCCATCAGGTGTTCCAGATCTGTCACAGTTGGAATTACTGAGATGATGTCTTTTCTTTTTTATTTAAAAAAATAAAAAGAGGGAGAGAACTACAAGGGCTGTCCCTCAGCATGGTTTAGCTGAAAGCTCCTTTTTCTTTGCACTTTCTTTGTTACGGAAGATAATGGGCTGTAAGAGAGATGAGACATTTCACTTTGCTCTACTTACTTAGCTAAAATTAGTGTAAGCAGGGAAATGGTCGCTCCATTAGAAGAGTCTTATGGTTTGTCAGTGAAGTCTGTATGATGGGCCTCCCGTAATGTGAAAATATGACAGCTGCATTTAAATGCTCCTTTTAGGAAGCAGTGGGAATAAAGTGTATAAAAATGGGGAGCCACTGAGAATAAGTAGTTAATGATAGGATATCATCATGAGGAGGAGTAGAATGGGGAGGAAACTTCCTAGAAATAAAACCAGTTAAAACTTTTCTACTGCGGCAAAGTTTAGCATTAAAAATACAGTTTCTAGAGCTCTAAATACACGTTAGACTTCACCCATCTCAAAGGAAATTTCTGCCAAACACAAGGCAAATATTTGGTTGGTCTGCTCCAGCTGGCAAGACTCCTCTGGCTCCCTGCTGGAGGGCTGGAGTATTCCTTGGGAGGCTGGAGATCCCAGGAGCTATTCCTCCTGTCCTGACCCAGGGCTATCGAGCAGTGGTGGTGAATTTGGGGAGAGTGCCATGTTTCCCTGAGCAGTTGCAGGTTTTGGGGAGCCTCCTGTGTGACAAGCGGTGTCGTGCAAACTGCTTTGCAGACACCTCCAAGCTGGAGTCTAAGAATCTACGTGAAAAAGCAGGTGAAGAAGCAGCCCCGGTGCTTTGCAGGTTGGATATTAAGTATTCACGATCCATCTGCTGTTAAAATGATTCCCTTAGTAATATTCTTTTAATATATGCGATGCTTTATAAATTTCACATTTTAATAGTGTGGTAATATGATTGTGATAAAGGAATCAAGAAAACCTATCAGAATTTCTAGAAACTTCAAGCCAGTGAGGTTGATGTAGCCAAAAAAAAAGTTTGTGAGGAAAGAATCTAAAAATATTTTTTCCCTTAAATTAGTTCATATTTGAGATTTATTTCTGTAATGTGCCCTACTTAGTTCAAAGAGCAGCCTTAGTGCCTCTGCAGTATGTATTTTGAGTGTTCGTCAATGATCTTTGGGTTTAGAATTTTTTTTTTTCTTCAGGATCGTAGAATTAAAATTGTTGGAATTGCCAAGCATGCCTTAATCAAAACCAGTACTTTTTGGTAATATTTGTATTTTGTGCTATAGCAGAATCAAAACAATATACTTCTGAAAAATGATTTTTTAAACTTGACTTTTCTGCAGTATATCCTAGAAATTTTTATATGTTAGTATTATATATTAGAAAATTCACAGAAGAACTGATTTTTAAAAACAATTAGTTAGCTATTTTAGATTATTCTTTCACTGAAGTTTTAATGAAAGAACTAAAGATGTACTGTTACCCTGTTAGGAAAACGAAAGGTGAAAGTAAAGCTTTGAAGTGATTACCTACTGCTGTCAAATGCCATGTTTGCGCTTTCCATGCTTCCATTAGATTTAATGCATTCAATTTCGATAGCTGAATTCATAATGAGCAATAACAGGGCTTGACTGTAGGGACATTTTTAAAAAATTACTAAAGAATGTATAAATTAAAAGAGTTTCTTCTGTGTTCTTGCTAACCTGTTTTCTTAGCTTTTTTTAACACTGCTGTCAACAGATTCAGCAAGAATTTAATAAGCAACTTGCCTATTTTAAAGTTTGTCCTGTTTAACTACTTTGAACTAGAAAAATGGTTCACTTGCTTTTTAATGTTGTTTTATAGCCACAATATATTTTAAGATCTGTACCTATGGTAAAAAAAGTGTTCTTTTTATGGGTAAAATAGCAAATGCTTTGTTTTTAATAAATATAAACTCTAAAATAATAATATTAGAGTGTAAAATCAATGTCATGATTTATGTTGTTCTGTAACTAGGGCGTCACTATGGAGCAGTAACTTGTGAGGGATGCAAAGGATTCTTTAAAAGGAGTATACGGAAGAATTTAGTTTATTCGTGCCGAGGAACAAAAGACTGTGTCATTAACAAACACCACCGGAATCGATGTCAGTACTGTAGACTGCAGAGATGCATCGCGTTTGGGATGAAACAAGATTGTAAGTCTGAATAAGTGTAAATTATTTTAGCTGGCAGCTATGTTAAAGTTTGTGCTACAAAAGATATGCTTTGTATTAATACAAATTGTTATCTTGATTTTATATGTTTAAATCATTGTATCTTTTTTCTTTAAAGAACTGTACAAGTTTGGTGTATCAGAAGTCTGAAATGTTTTCAGTCATGCATATCACTTGACAAACTTCATAAGCACATTGCATATGGTTGAAGTGAATGAATTGTTATTGCTAGGTGGCAAATGTCAAGCATGTCTCCATCTTTGCTTTTTTAGACATGCAGTTCAATTTTTCTATGCATAAATTAAGGTACTGAATTTTTTGAATCCTACCTTCTTGTCACTTTTTCCACAACTGAGATTACTGGCAATTGCTATTCACTTTTGGCAAAGCAGACAGTTATTCACAAGGCTGAGACCCATAGCCATCTAGAGTTCACTTCTTACCGATTCCTGCAAATTTCAAGTTCCTTTTTAATTTCCATACATTGGATGTAGTGATACTGCAATACCACAGCAGTGTTAAAATACTAAATACGCAGAAAATCAAGCAATACATGAATTCTTCAGCCCTGATACTGCCACGCTGTTCCTTTATGCACAGTATTAGTCTTATGCTCTGCTCTCTGCCATCCAGCTCAATTTTGCTGACCTTCTTGAACCTCTGTGGATGTTCCCCTCCCTACAGCCCTGCTTCTATCAGCAAAAGCAGTAACACTGTTGCAGCACAAAAGAAGTTAATTCAGAAAGGGAGGAAAAGCTGGGGTGGTGAAAGTGGATCTTCACCCCTTTACCGTCTAGTTCAGCTGGCAGTACTTTGCGCCTGCACAGAAGACTTCTCAAGCAGAACAAAATCACTGGGCTTGGGGGTCAGAAGGCAGGAAAATGATCTCTGGGTCGTGGGGAAATACTGAGCGGAGGAGGGGATCGTTTTGGAATTCCTCATTCCTCAGTGGAGTGGGGAGAGGAAAGAAAACTCAGTGCTGTCTTGTACTGTAGCTCCCTCAGTGGGGTTATTTGTCCCTTGAAGAAGTCTTGGCCCTTTCTCAGCAAACTCAGATCCAGCTAGCAGGCACAGGGTTAGCAAAGGAATATAAAAGACTTTTGCCTCCACCTCCCACCCTTTCAAAGCACCGTTCATGGGTTACAGGCTAGCTGTAATGGCATTGTCAATACGTGATGATATTACTACATTTGGTTTTATGATACTTATCAGTGTAAAAATTCAAATAGCATCACAGTCTAGTACTAACTGGAAAGTTTTTAATTTTTTTCTTTAGTTACACATTTTCCAAAACTGCGTAATTGAAGAAAAGTTAAGTTTTTTTCCTATTTGCCTTTGTGTTTTAAAATAATGAACATTCAGGATTCTCTTTATAGGTTTAAACAGTTTCTATGTGTAGTACAATATTAAAGAGGCTCTGCTAGCCAGTAGCCAGTGCTTATCAAGCTGGTGAATTGATGCATATTTTAAATTACGTGTAGGCCTTGTTTGTGACTCTCAGGATCTTATTCCAATCTGTAAAATTACTTGCACTACTTTAAAATTGTGAAAGAACAATTTACTGCATATTTTTAAAAGATTTGTACTTTTACTTTGTAAATACCTTTTATTAATCAAGTTTTACAGTAACAATGTTATGTTACTGTTATGTTATTTTTCCAGAAATTAAATTTTCCTTTTAAACTTTTAAAATCAAACTGTAAACTGGTTTCTTTTGGCTTTATTCCGTAGAGCTAGAGATTTCCCCATAGGGTATAATACTGTAAGTTTCATTTTAATGTTCTCTAATCCATCCAAAGGAAGGTGATGTATCTGTAGGCTAAAGCCCAGATTCATTCCACCTAGTTTCACTGAGCTATTCAAATTAAATATCTGCTTCTTCTCTGAAGTCAGTGATTGTGGGTCAGGATGTGGCCCAGATCTTACGTGGTCGGAACTGAACTTCGTGAATATCCCTTCCCCTTTGTATTGTCTAAGGTCCTAACTTGAGAAGCTTCTTTAAGTGCATACAGTTATGTGGGTTCAACCCAGACCCACAATCCATGGAAAAGGGTGCCATGAGTCCTTTACGAATGCACTGAGAGTGTGGGATAGTGAAATTGAGAGGAGAAGCCATAAGCCTGCACTTAAAGATCCAAATTAAAAATAAGGTATAAGGGGATTTATGTCCTAATTATAACTTGAAAAATTTAGTGTTTATATGTTTGGTCTCAGACTTCGACTACTACCTTATTCATTAAGAACAATCAAATCGGTGTGTTGTTTTTTACTCAATGTGTCAGCTTATTGGTTATGGGATTTTTTTTTAGTTATTTTCAGAATCATTATTAAAATTACAGATTAAATAAAGAGAGGAAAAAAAAGGATTATTTCTTAGTCTGTAATTTGGGATATGACTTAACGGTTGCATATTGTTTTGTTAGCTGTGCAGTGTGAAAGGAAACCTATTGAAGTGTCAAGAGAAAAATCTTCAAACTGTGCAGCTTCTACAGAAAAGATCTACATTCGGAAAGATCTTCGTAGTCCATTAGCTGCAACTCCAACTTTTGTAACAGATAATGAAACAGCAAGGTAAATTCTACTCAGAAGCAGCTATCTCTGTTTCCTGAAACAGGAAAAATTAATTTTAAAATTAATCAAAATGGAAATGTGTGCTGTTTTGTGTCAGATCAACAGGTCTGCTGGAATCGGGAATGTTTGTTAACATTCATCAGTCTGCAATAAAAAGTGAGCCTACTGTGCTGATGACTCCAGATAAGGTATATGATTATATGACTGATACATTAAGTAGAGTTGATTGCTGTAATTGTGTATGCAGGGAGGGAAGGGTGTTCTGTTTTGTTGTACTTCTGTTTTGTTAAATTCATTTTTAAAACACTCCTTTACAACATTAGCCGGTGTTGCAAATGCCTTCTCTTCACGAGCATGTACTTAGCCTTGCATAGTAAAAATGTTAAAAGCTCTACAAAGTAAATGCCTTCCTCCACGTTTTTAGAGAGCTTTAAGGACTGCATTATTTTTCTTTGTATTGGGCAATCGTGACACTTGGATATTTCTTTTGTACCAATGAAGTGAGATGTTTGCAGAACCTTACATGGCACTATCACAGTGCATTTCATAAATACTGTTAGGTATTTTTCCCCCAGATCGCTAACTTTTTTGCAAAGCTAATAAAAGCTATCTCAGCAACAATCTTATTTCTGAGCTGGTTTTCCTTTGTTTCCATGTTGTTACACTTACTGATCCACTAAAGCCATGTGGTAACTTCCCTACACATGCACAGTAGGAAAGGAAGCTCTTGTATTTTTCTAGCTGATACTAAATTACCTCACACTGTGCCTGGCTTGCTCTGTCTACAAAGGGCCCCATCAAAAGTTGTTTATTCCATTTCACTTTTCTGGCTCGCTCTGTAGAGTATGACAGTGCAAGCTAAATGACATATAGCATGCTGGTGTTAGCAGCAGCATACTTGTCTATAATCATGCACTTTTCCTTTTTTTTTTTTTTTTTTTTTGAGGCAGGGTGGGAAACGTCTTGCTGCCTCTCTGAGTTGCTGATCAGTACTGAATCACCTTGTTCCCTTGCAATTAAATAAAGACATAAAAACCAAAAAGGCTGCAGTAAAATTCTTTTTCTGCTTGCTTTTGAAGGTGACTTTTTATCCATTCCTTCTTTTCAAACATTCTCCTACCCTATTACTACTGACTCATTTACACAAGGAAGGAAGATCTAAAAATATTATCTAGTGCAGTCTTATAGTCCTGGTGACTGACTAGCAAGTAGAGATGATAAATACTCTTTCTGCACTTGCTTACCATCTGTAGCATTCTTTCTGAAAGAAGTAGATAGCTATTACTTGTAAAAGTAAATGTCTAAACATTTGATATTTTAGAAGCAGTGTAGTGTCTAATTGCTGCGTTATGATTACCCATTTACTGAAAACAATAATTTTCTTACAGGTCTATTCACATGCTCAATTCTTCATTTATGTAAAAGTTAAATTCTTATATTGCAAGTTAACTGCTGCCAGTATGAGAGAATTAAAAGCTATACTTTTCCCTTAGGTTGAAGCATGTCAGGGAGATTTAAGTACACTGGCGAATGTGGTGACTTCATTAGCTAATCTCAGTAAATGCAAAGACATGTCACAAAGCAGCACAGAGCTATCTATGATTGAGAGTTTAAGTAATGGAGATGCATCATTATCTGAACTCCAGCAAGAAGAACAAGCTAGTAGTGATGTTACAAGGTAAGGCACATTACACTTGAAAATATTATTCTTTTCAAGAAGGTCTCTGTCAATTCAGACCATTAATTAAATCATCAGGGTGTAGGAAATTTATCAGCATTAAAAACAATAGCAATAACAGCCTAAGCTCATATAGAACATAAATCCTGTAAGATTCTTCCAAGTGAAATTATAAGGAAGTTCCATTGAGAAATAAATACTTTTAATTGTTTGTACTTGAAATGAATTTCAAAGTAAATGTTACAGCTGATCTTCTTACCTCTTATTTGGCCTTAATATAACGTGTGTTTGATCTTGTACTGTAGCCTTAGTACTTTGTATCATCCTGGAAAACTGTTCTTAGAGATCTCATCTAAGTAAGTAGTTTAATGCCTGTAACTTAATCACCTTAAAAGCTTGAAAAGCATTTTCTTTCTACACAGGAGAAGTAACAGAATTCTCACCATCAATACAAATAAATTCGTTGAGTATCCTACAAACTTGTGTCTTACATGGGTTTGAACTAAGCCATTTTGGTGAGCGTATGTGTAAGATAATGTGTGTAGTACATACTCAGTTAATTCCATCAATCACAATCATGTTCTTCCTTGGTTGTCATCTCATGCAAGCTTCTGACAGCTGTTGCAGCAATATTCCTTTACACACCATCTGCATTGTACACGCTGTTTTGTATATGTGTATGTGGAATAAACCCATCAAGGAAAAAAAGACTGGTGTATAGTGAAGTAGTTTGTACTGACTGAAATACAGGATTTCCCCTGTGGTCTCTGCTGCTTTGTATAATTGCAAGCAGAATGCATTTGTTCTGCTCCTTTCTTTATATGCTGCGTAGAAAGTCAATGTGAATTTATATAGGTGCTGATTCGGGCCTTTGCTGTGTCCTGCTAGGTAAAGAATGTAAGAATTGTTGTACATGCTGATAAACTTCACTCAATACTATGGCTGTTCAAAAAGATGTAGTAATCTTTCATTTGTTTCCTAGCACTTTCAGATGCTTGCTTTTGCCAACTTCAGTGTTTCTGTTCTGTTTTAGAAAGCTATCTATGAAAACGCATCAAGTTCTGTCAGCCAGAGAGCTTGCAAAAGCTCTGATCAGCTTAATGCGTACCCTTGTCCAGTAGGTTACTTAATAGATTTCCAGTGGGGAGGTTCAATATTCCTGTGAAAGGGAAGTTGTTACCCAAGCAGAAACTAAAATTTTTATCTGAATCATTGCTTTCCTTGCCAGGCCCTATGCCAGCTTGATCTAACAGACACAGATGTTAACTGAAGAAAAGGAGTTTAAGGGATTTGGGGGAAGCAAGTTTTATCCATCTGTTTTTCATGTATTATATTCCATTGCTTGCAGCTACAGTAGTTAAGCTTTCACTTTTGCTGACACGAATTTAGTGTACAACTTTGCTGGTAGCATTCTGCTGCTTTTGTAACGTTATATGCCTTGTCCTCTAATGGCTTCATTGTCTGTGTTAATTTTTTACAGTTTATCAGCAGTCCTATATATCTGTTATTAACTGAGCCTGACGAAAAGAGAACCAAAGTTGTTTCTAGCAAAGGATATCAATCAGTACCACGTATTTTAATGTTGATTATACCTTTTTTCTCACTTTGTGGGCTAGGGCTAGGTTTTTGTACCTTCCGGGCAAGCTTTGTTCTAGACTCTCTTTCCCTTTGTGTTTTACCTTGCAGTCATTGCTCATGTTGGGGCTTCATATATGAAAAGAACCCACAATGCTGAGCCATGAGGAAGCAAAGCTTGTACTGACTTCTGCTGGCGTACTACTGCCAGTGTATGAGATAGGATGGAGAAGATTTTTTTGAAAGCCAACATTCAAGCCTGAGTTGGAAACACAGTATCATGGGTAGACATGGTTAACCAGTGTACCTGCCTACCCTATTTAAAAAGGACTCTTCAGCCTATAGTTGAATAAATACAGGATCGTGGCAGGTGCATATGACATTTACCTTTTGGGGAAAGGAGAGATCTTGTTCCTCTCTTACATTTCTGTCCCTGCTACATAAAGAGCCCTGCAGAGATCCAGTTTTTCCTAAGAAGCAGCTGCCACTGACCTGCTGGGTTTGCCTATTCTACCTAAGACTGCCAAGAGTGATCCATGCAGGACCTGAAACTCAGATCTCCTAGCACGAATCCAATCACACAGCTTCTAGAGCTTACCCATGAATGTATTCCCTTTATGCCTACTTTCCATATACTGGAGACAGAAAATGTCCCAGGTATATCTGTGTAGTCCACTTGCACATGCCTCACCCACACAGCAAGGTATACAGCCTAGTGTAGGACCCCAAACTAGTTCATTTATCATCTCAAGCCTAAGGCAGTGTCAGCAGCTCTTTTATTGTGATGTTTTGTGTGATTGCAAATGGTTATATCAAACACAGTAAACATTTAGATTTTTTGAGCTTGTGAATGAATTTAGATAGCGAGGAAGTGTGCGGCAAGAGAAGGTAGCAAAGTTCTACTCCAGACTTTGGCATTAAATCAGTAATTTTAGATTCTGTGGTAATAAACAAGTCTCTATAAATTGAGAACCAGCTCTGCATACAAGCTGATAATCAGCTTTTGTGAAGTTTTCAGACCTCAGTGCATAAGTTTCTCACGCAGCACTGTATACAAATTATACTGCTCTCAGGATATGTCATCTGTCTGTAGGCAGTGATCAAGTCTGTATATTTTTGATTGAAGATATATCAGTTGTGGTTCTCAGGTGTATTCATGAACAAAAAAACAACAGATCTGTTATCAGGCAGCAAAATAACGAGTAATATATCTGTGCTTGTCCTGACATCTCCCCCGTAACGTTTGTGCATGTGATGGGAGTCACTGCCCCCCATCAAAGGGTACAAAGGACGATATTGAAAGCATGAAAGTGCTTTCTCTTATGTATTTCAAAACAGTCTTTTCAAATTAAGTTGAATAACCTAGCCACAACTCATTACTTTAAAAAAAGAAAGCTTATTCTGTTTGTGCTTCATAGCAGCAAAAATCTGCAAAATTTATATGTGCATTAAGTTGCTTTAACAGCAGCCTGATGATCATGTCCTCAAAATGCTTATGCCAGCACTCTCAGTAAACATCACTAAAGAGATCTTGAAAGGCAAACTGTGATTCAGCAGCACAATCAATATGTCAAAACTGTGAATTTGTTGGCAACTAGTGTGAACAGGATCTGCTGCTAGTTTTTGTTTCAGAGCCACTCTAAGTTGGAGTTTTCAGGGATTTTGTTCAGTGGAGTTGTCAGGAAAAGCATGCTACTGACTTTTATTTTCCAAATCTAGTTCTTTGAAACGGACATTTGAATACAGGTTTCAGACATTTGCAGGTTACTCCTGAATTGAAAGTCTCTGAAATGAAATCTTATTTTCTTTTGTTTGTTTGTTTGTTGTGATCTTACAGGGCATTTGATACTCTTGCAAAAGCATTAAATCCAGGAGAGAGTGCAGCGTGCCAGAACGCTGAAAGTATTGAAGCCAGTGTACAGCTGATTGGTGGAGAAACAGGCATGAATATCGTTGAAATAGAGGGGCCACTACTCAGTGATGCACATGTAGCATTCAGGGTACTTAAGACTTTTATACTGTTGACTGTTTATAACCATTTTAACATAGTAATGTAAAATAATGATCTGATTAAATCTTATTTTGAATTTCTTAGAAGAATAAATATTTGTTCAGGTATTGGCATTCATTTCCGATGAATGCTTCACTTTTGTTCACTGGTTAAATCCTCCTTTGGGAAAATGTACAGCTCTTCAGTGGTTTAGCTGCACTATTTATTTTATAGCTTCTTACCTTAAAAATACAAGGTAATCCATGCAAAAGCATTTACACAGACAAGTGTCGCACAAAGGAGAGAGTCAGTATCCACATTCTCACTTGTTAACAGGTGGATCTGATGCAATCTGCAACTGGATTTTGAGACTCTTAAGTGTATTTGTCTCCTTTGTGTATATACCCTAGTTTAGTATGGTGTCCTGGTTTTGGCTGGAATGGAGTTAATTTTCTTTCTACTAGCTGGTATAGGGTTATGGTTTGGGTTCAGTATGAGAAGAATGTTGATAACGCACTGATGTTTTCAGTTGTTACGCTAAGTCAAAGATTTTTCAGCTTCTCATGCCCAGCCAGCAAGAAGGCTGGAGGGGCACAAGGAGTTGGCACAGGACACAGCCAGGACAGCTGACCCAAACTGGCCAAAGGGGTATTCCATACCATGTGATGTCATGCCCAGTATAGAAACTGGGGGGAGTTGGCCCGGGGGGATCACTGCTTGGGAACTGACTGGGCATCGGTTGGTGAGTGGTGAGCAATTGTATTGTGCATCACTTGTTTTGTATATTCCAATCCTTTTATTATTATTGTCATTTTGTTATTGCTATTATTATCATTATTAGCTTCTTCCTTTCTGTTCTATTCAACAAAATACAAAAAAAGATGTTTTTTGAAATAGAACTCCCACACGCACACTCTCCCCAGGAAATGTGGTAATTCCTTTAATTTTTCAGGCCACTTATTCCACTGTTATCGGGGAAGCTTTAGAAAGTAATGATGCTTCTGTGTTTGTACTTTTTCTGTATTTATCTATATATAAATGTAAGCAACTTCATTCTAATTACAATGATTCTTCTAAAACTTGTATTCTTTGAGAGTGTCTCAGAAGTTACATTTTATTTGGGAGTTTCCATCTCCAGGTGTCCCAGACATGAATATTTATCCAAGATAAAGATTCAAAAATTGTGCCTTCTTTGTTGCCTTGTCGTTACTATAGGGTATAACAGTGTGGCTAATAATGAAAAAGGCAGTCATTCAATTTTATTTCAGGATTATCTCATGTTTATTTAAAAAACAATTTTACTTTTTCACTTAAAAGAAACTAAGGCTGATTTTTTTTCTTACCATATTTTTAATGAAGAAAGTAAAATAACTGACTTGAACTATTTTTTTTTTTTTTTGGTTGCCAGCTCACCATGCCTTCTCCTATGCCTGAGTATCTTAATGTTCACTATATCTGCGAGTCTGCCTCCAGGTTGCTTTTCTTGTCCATGCACTGGGCACGTTCCATTCCATCTTTCCAAGCTTTAGGGTAAGTGTTCTGTTAGTCTATTCACTCATGTTGTGAATATACACTTTTAAAATTTTTTATGTTCACTGTCTTCTTCAGGGACATTTTAAATCTACTGATTAAAACTGTTGTGTAGATCTTCATCATGAAGGTAAATTTTCTGAATCAAAACTACTCCCAACTTCAGTCCAATTCAGGTACTTTGGTTGGGTTTTGAAGGAAAAAAGTGTAGATTTATAACAAATCAAATGCCTGCGCACTGCTACTTCTTTAATAAATTTTAGTAAATAGGACTTCCTATCATTTTTTAAATAGCTACATCCTGAACTAAGATGCTTATCAGGCTGTCACCAAAAAGAAGCTCCTCTCTGGATCCCCAAATATCTTTATAGGTGAATTATTAGTAATAATTTTGCCTTTAGTAATCTATATGAAGAAAATGGTTAGCTAGATTCAGCAAGCATTCAGGATGAGGTTGTTTAATTTCAGGGGATTTTAAAAAATAAATTATTGCTGTAACCAGAAAGTAATTCTTATTATTCTTTTTACAGTTTTTATAACATCCTGCTTTTCCAGCAGAATTCAATGTATCGCTTAAAATTCTTAAACTAAATGTGGTAGTTCACTGCTGATCATCATTAGAAAACATCTCAAAACACCATGGGGAAAAGTGATTTATGTTATTTTCATAAGTAATTTTATGAAGACACATCAAATGAATAAAGATACTGTATCAACTCTGACACAAATGAAGTGTTTTTCTTTAATTCAATATCAAAATAGTGTATAACTGTGGCAGCAAAGAAAATTCCTTTTTAAAGTGAGGGATTGTCCCCTTTTCCAGGAAACATGTCAAAAGCAGCATGATCTGTGATTACCATTTGTGTTTACTCAGATGTTAAAGCCAAATGATTCTACATTGTTTAAGGAGAGATACTATATTGTGTGTAATTGAAGCCTGTGTTTTGGAGAAGGAAAAGGTAAAACTCTATAAAGTTAAACAATAGCAAGGCTAAAAAAATCAGGTAACTATGATACATTTTTCTGTTTGAATTAAAAAAATAGATGGAGGAGTAGGCTGTCTTAATAGTGTTAATATTCACCTGTGCTAGTCAAGATCATGGGCAACAGTCTATTTAAACACCATTTAACATAAATATACAGTTTTCCTTTTGAAGAGCTTAAAATACTGTCTTTTTTCAAGTGAAGTTTTATTTGAAATTAATGCAGCTTTTTTAGTTTGAGCACATTATGTACTATAATTTTGACTTGCAGAAGGGTGACTCATTTCACTTTAAAAATGAAGAGAAATTCATGGTACTAGTAATTGAGAGGAGTTGACGAGCCAAAACAAAACCATAGTAATGGTTTTGTAAGGAAAATAGATAATTGTACCCAGGTGGTTCCCCCTCAGGCAATGTCTTCCTTAGTCGCAGCAAGATAGTTGGCTTTGGCATACTGATGTAGTTAACGATGCCAAGTTACTGCTTAGTTCATCTTCCTGCATGAAGATCTTTGTAGGCAAAAGGGATTCCTGCTGAAATGTTCATCAAGCTGGTTACAGCCTCTTAGTTTTTTGAGGCTGCTTAAGTTTGATGAGCTCGTTCTGGTCCGAGTTTGATCAGCCATAAACGTACTCTGGATGATACATTTATCTACACACATACCAGCTGAGTAGCCAGTGCGCCCTCATTTTCACAGTTCCTCAGTATAGTCCCTTTGACAGGAGATGAATGGGGATGTGACAAATACGTGTAGAAGCTGCATGTACACTATCATGTCTACCATGACAAGAACTTGATCATAGTAAAAAATACTGCCCTAGGTAAGCTCTCTGTATTCCAGTACAGGACAGGTCTACATTAATCTGTCGTTTGGCATATTAGTATTGCAGTAAATCATCAGAAATGTTCTTGAAGATTACATCAACGTTCTTGCAAAAATCCATTCCATTGTATTTTTGTAGTTAAAATCCTAGCTTTAATATGCTTTTCTTCTTTGATAGGTCTTGTGCTTCTTTTAAATTTCCATTATTTATATTTACTGGCTAAAACTGTGAAACATGGTACCTGAATTTGACTCCTCACTGGTAGGATTTCCTTTTTAAGGTACTGAGCTCTCGTTAAGCTCTAGGAGTTAGAGATGCTTGGCAATACTGAAAGTTAGGTTACTAATATGGAAGTGCCTGAATATGGATTGATATGCCTAATTTTAAGCTTCAGCATATGAAAAAAAAATACTGACTACACATGAAACTTAATTTAAGAGCTAATTCCTACAGCAAAGAAATCCTCATGACTTCTATTTATACTTTGAAGTCTGTATTTCAAACCTTATTCCAAACAGGAAGGAGATACAGAAAATAGCAGTCAGGAAGCTCAAGAACTTGATCTTACATGTTGCATTTCACATGTATTTTTGATTCAAAAATTATACCAACCTGCCAGATTTCAAGTGAAAAAAACCAACCTTTGAGTCTGTTCTACATCCACAATACAGGAACAATGCAAACTTTCTTTGTCCATGCATGTAAATGTTATTCAAAAACTAGTGTAAATCCTAGGAAAACTAGCATGACATAATACGCCTAGACAGTTGTCATTTATTGTAACTTCAGCTTGCTTTTGGGATACAAATCTATCTCCTTTTCGATCATTAAAACAAAAATTACTTCTTTACAAAAGTCACTCTAAACTGGGTATTTTAATCCTAGCATGCAAGTAAAAGTATTTTTGATGCAGGGCTTCATTTTGGTACTAGTTGCAATGGTTGAATTAGATGAAGTGATTTTATGAAGTGTTTTTCAAATTAAAAAAAACCTGTGTGAATGCAAATGGCTGGTTTTATTAAGTGAAATTATTGTATTTTTTAATAGACAGGATAACAGCATATCATTAGTAAAAGCCTGCTGGAACGAACTTTTTACGCTTGGTCTTGCACAATGTTCACAAGTTATGAATGTGGCAACTATATTAACTGCATTTGTTAATCACCTTCATGGCAGTTTACAGCAAGGTAAGGTGCATACTGTGCGCATTGCCAGACTTGGGGAATTACTTAATGTTTTTTAAGTTTTGAACTGTGCAGAAGCTTTTTACTTATCCTTCAGTTGTTAATGAAATTTTACTATTTATAGAGTTTCGTGGTTAGTATTGAAACAAAATAATACCAGAAAATACAGTTCACAAGATGGAATTTTTTAGCGATTTTGCAAAAGTCAGCTATGCTAATACTTACCCCCAAATTAAAAAAAAAAAAAAATTACCCATCTATCTGATATAGGTTATCATTTACAGGGGTTGTTTTTATTGTGTGTCTATGTAATGTCTCATAGCGTTCTGCTGTTCTGTTAATATCAGCTCAAATTAGGAATATTTCAGGCAGCATCAATGTTTAAGAACACAAGTGTACTGTGAATCTGATTCCGTTGTATGAAGGGTATAAAGTAAAGAATGACCCACCTGTCCTTGCTGTTCATAGCTGTGAAACAAAGGAGCCAAATGCCAATTTGGTGATATACTTCCTTTACATACCTTGGCTTCTTGACTTCTGTGTATTAGTTTTAGACTACATGCGAGTCTTCAACAGATCTTCACTAAGTATACTTTGTTGCTTATTAATCCTATGCCCTGCATCTTTTGCATATTTTTCATTCAAATGAAAGAGATGTCAGTTGGCCTCCTCTTTCATTCACTCTGCAGTGAAGGAAATTGTTCTGAGTAGGGGAGTCTCTTAACTAATCTTTGTGTGCTAGTGAACACTCACAAGGTTGTCAGCACTAAAAGCTAACCAGTCAAAAATATTATAGTCTTCATCTGTTCATAGTCTTAACACATTTTTAATAATGTAGATGCACATACAAAAATCTCAGCATTTTCAGGTTAAACTAGATTTTTGCTGTTACATGTATGAAAAGTCACTGTTGTTAATCCTATGCAAAAACGGACTGGTAAACTGTAGAAAAACAGTCCACCAGACTACAGATTTTTCCTGTCCTTTTATGATGAGGGAATTAAAGAATTATTTCTGAGGGTTTTTCATGATAAAAAAATACCCAGAAGATCCTCCTATAAATAGCAATAGTTTATAATTAAAATAAATTGATTAAACCACTAAATGTGGATCAGCTAAAGATACTAACAAATCTGTGAATGTCTTTAGGAGGAATACAAATGGAATTTGGGAACTTAATTTGGTCTACATCATTTTTAAGCGTGTTCACCAAAAAGGGTATTGTAGTAATTAATCATGGTTTTATCATTACTACAAATCTATTTTTTTGCCATTTAATTGAATGCAAAAATCAGAAATTGATAACCAATGTCTTCCAGTTGTGTAGTATGCCAGCTGCAGCATCTCCAAGAGATAAGTTTGTGGGGCCCAGGGACCCCACCTAGTTTGACAGATTGTGGAGGGAACGGGATTTTCAGGCTGCTTAGCTATTGCTGACCCAAGGGGAACAACTCTGCACCAACCACATTCCCCTAGATGCAAATCAGGAAAGGTGTGTAGTGCACCTTCTTTTTCAGCAGCGGCATGGTCTTTGAGTAAAATAACCCGTGAAACTGTACACTAACCGACCTCATGGCACCTGACCCTTAGACGTAGAGCACAGATCTGCAGTGGCAGTGTATTCTTTACTTCTAAGTAGTCTTTCCCTTGCTTGATCATTTCAAGCTCTAGTCCACCCCTGATTACTGGCAGCTTTAGTGGCAGGGAGGGAGCTTATTTTGCCATGGGGGGGGGGGGGATTGTTGTAGTCCATAATTGTTGGTGTCAAGATTATTCAGACCTAGTATGTGAGTTTATAGATGGCAGAGATTTCCCACTGTTTGGATCTAATAAAATCATTATTTTTAAAAATCCAGTGTGACCACATTTTTTGCTTGTGTGTTGACTTGGGGGTTTATATTTTATGTGTGTGTTGACTTAGATAAGCTGCCAACAGACAGAGGAAAACTAGTAATGGAGCATATCTTCAAATTGCAAGAGTTCTGTAACAGCATGGTTAAGCTTTGCCTAGATGGATATGAATATGCCTATTTGAAAGCAATCGTCCTCTTCAGTCCTGGTATGTAATTATTCCAAATGTAAAACTTTAATCTGTGCTATTTTTTGCCATATAACTTCTGCCTGTTTCATTATATGCAGTTAGTATCACTTGTAGAACCACTGCTTCACTTGTTGAGGAATCTTGGAAGGTGTGTAATGAGGACTGCAGGAACAGGAGGGTTAATCTAGTGTAAATAGTTGAATGCTGCTTTGGAGACTTAAGTTTTACTCTTGCCTCTGCCTTTTTTTTCCAATTATTATTTTTATTTATTTATTTATTTATTGCTTTTAATTCTGTGCTTCCTTTCTGGGGTGTTTTTTCTGAGGACCTGCAGTTTGATTTTCAGAATTGTTGTTCTTGCACATCCAGCTGAGATGGATTGAAGTTCAGGTTTTAATGTATGAAAGGCTATCTCTCTGGGCATCGATTCTCACATGCAAAATTACAGAAACATATCACCTCACTTCACATAGGTATTTTGAAAATAAATATTACATATAGCATTTCTGGTGAATGTACACCAGAAACATTCCCTTATATTATTATTTCTGTCTTCTGAACAGTATTTGCCTAATGTACTCCAAGTAACATTAATGGACATACATTAGACAGTGAAGATAAAATAAAAAAATGATTATTTTTTCCTTCTGGGAGATTAGTCTACAATATGGAGGAACAAGAACCCTCTGGTTATGATAGATAGTGACTGAGTACTTAGATTATATAACACGTATGTGTGGACTGTAGAAAATTACAAAATTAATTTTCTTTATTTGAAAATTGTAGAATTAACTTTTCACTAAAGGCATTCAGATATTATATCAGTATCCTGCAGGTCTTAAATTTATCATTCAGAATTTAGTGATTTAATATAAAACCAAAACCAAATTTTTGATAAAACATATAAACCTCAGGTCCTTTCTGTATCTCGAGGAATTTTTCACTGTCACATTTAGAAAGTAAATCTTCAGTCACTCTATTTTACATTAAAAACGTTTAAAAGCATCAATAGCTTCCTTAATCCTCATTGCTCTGCTTTTTTTAGATGCTGATGTCCCATAGAAAAGATCAGAGCAAATTTTAAAAAAGCTGTCTGCACCTTAGTGACCTGTCCACCATCAGTAGTGTAGGGTATGGAAGAGAACTGGGTATTCGGTTCTTGTCAGTTCTGTAGATTTATTAGATCTGAGAACAACTTTCGGTTCACCCTTTCACAGAAAAATTAGTTGAGGTAAGAAAATCGTTAGGAACCTGGACACTGTCGAAATGTAAATTTTAAGCAGGTTTTCTTACATATGAGAATTGTGAAGTTCTTGGTTTGCAGTTTCTCATATTTACGTGATCTTTTCTATATGTAGTATCTACAACGAGTATCCACATCTCCCAGTAAAAGTGGCAGCATCAGCAGGAATTCATGGTACTCAGTCTAAGTGCACAACAAAACCCTGAGTATCTTCCACTGCTTTTTTTTTTTTTTTTTTTTTTTTTTTTTTTTTTTTAATATTGCATCAATGGAAGACTTCTGAGATGAAAGATGTTCTTCCAAATAAGAGGCAATATAAGTAGTGTCAGAACTCTCCAGGAAGGATGAGAAATTCCCAGACGATATTCCAGTGATACTCTTCTATTGTGGATCACTAAGGAAAATCAGATCCTGAGTGTTTTCACTATAGACCATAATCCTGCTGTCAGTCTTCGTGACTAGGAGAATCTTGCATGGTTTTATGTGTTTGTTTCTACAGTCCACTGAAGCACAGGAACAATTTCAGTTTTCTGATAAGCAGTACCCACCATGAGTTTAATCGCAATATTAAGAGCGCTTGAAAATGGTTGCAATTTTTCTTCTCCACTGAGGACTGAAGAGTTCCCTGGACTTCTCACTGTTATTTCAGAAGAGGCAGAGACTTTCTTTAAGTGGAGGGTGGGAAGGTGTTTGTTTGTTCAATTTTAGTAGATAATGCTTGCAGGAGATGTAATTCTTTAGGTGTTCCTTACCCCAAAATAGTCCTTTCACAGCATTTCCATATTCAGAACTGGTACAGGTTGCTCCAGGAAAGAAACAAAATGATGGAAGAATACCTCAAGCCCATTTTTCTAGTGCAATGCCTACTAGGATTTATGACAGAATCTGTTGGTTTGTCTGAAGAAATCAGTCCTTTTTGACAACAGAAGAGATTTCTCTAGGAACGTTACACTTGCAAACCAATATTTACTTATTTGTTTAGTCTGAAGTTAATTTGTTTCCTTCCAATTAGATTTGACAACACAAAACGTAGAAGGAAAAATACTTGGGAAAAGACTATATCCAGTCACATGTTTGAGATGAATTTTCATTAGCTCACATGCTTTCAGGATCACATTCCTAATGATATGTAGCTGCTTTAATGGCAATGTGTTGTCAATATTCTTGATCCAATGAGCCATGTAACAAAATCTTCATGTACCTGAAAGTCAGTACCTTGAACAGAAGGGATGTTCTGGCAATGATTCACAGGCCAGAAATTACAATTTCAGGGATTTTACTGCTCTGCTACGGGATGGGGCTGGGCTGCACATGCAGCAGAGACCTAAGGTAAGAACATCTGCTTTAGTAGGCCCGGCTGATTTGCTGTCTTCCACAGCTGGAGACTTGAAGATTACTGAAAATCTTCAGTGCCATGCCAGCTGTTTGACTGTCACAAGACAGCCTTGGGCAAAGAGATGACTGTGAAGAGAGTGCCTAGAAGACTTTGCATCTTTATAAATGGCTACTAGCGTACTAGCAGTGGTCTTCAAACTACTGTTTTCGGAAGTTGACTGCTAGCTGTGTTTCTGACATTGCTCTAAAAACAGCGTCATGAAGCAATGCATATTGCATGTCAGTGACAACTCTTCAAAATGTATTGCTGCTTTACAAACTTGTTAACCTCTTGTCCTCTGCATAAATTTGAAATCATGCTTTCAGAATGACTGAATATTCCTCTGTGAAATTATGTGTTCAGGGGAGTCCAATATATCACATAACTGCTAAATTGCTCTGAAAGCTTCTGTATCTGCAGAGCTAGACGAAAACCTCCTGGTTTTGTTGACAGAAGGCCATATATTTGGAGAGGAGGAGTGACTGTTAGAAATAATCTGTTATCTGACATAATTTGGCAGCTCATTTATGATCCCATTTCTGAAAAATAAATTACATTATTTGTCACACTGCTATGACAGTAAATTATTTACATTAAGAAAAATGGATAATAAAAATTACAGGCCATGTAGAGTGTTCAGAATTACCAGATATTAATTTCCAATTGTGACTTGGCAGTTAGGTTGATATCCTTTCATTTTAGCAAGATTTAAATTTCAGGTGTTTAAACCACTGCTAAAAATTATGTTTAGCACATTTGAAAATTTTGCACCAAACAGTTGAAAAAGAATGATCTGCTACATATTTTCTGCAGTTTTTAGGAAACAAATGGCTCATAGCCTTTTATTCTTTTTCCACTGATCTTAATTTTATCCTTCACTTCCCATTCAAGTGCTATTTGTGCATACAATATTCCAATAAATGTCAGCATATTAAAACAGCGCTGTTCTACTGCTACACAGAGAACAGAGCTGTATCATCAAGATTGATGTAAGCATTGCAAGCACTGCATTTATTTGAACTCTTCGAAATGTCTGGTTGTATTTATAGAAAACTAAATAAAACATAAACATAGAGGAAAGGAAATATAAAGAGGTAAAGCAGTGTCCTCCACTAAAACTGTGAATTTGCTACAGCTGCCAAATAATGATTTCAGTATGCTTACAATTAGATAATCTGTATGGATTTTAGTGCATCTTATGTCCAACAGGTATAATAACAATGTAGAGTGGGTTCTTTTCAGATCACCCAGGCCTAGAAAATGTGGTGCAGATTGAGAAATTTCAAGAAAAGGCTTACATGGAGTTCCAAGACTATGTAACAAAAGCATATCCGGATGATACTTACAGGTCTGTAAACTTACATGCTTACTTGATTGATTCTCTTTTCAGTGTGTTGATGATACTGATTTGTACAGTATTTCGTTAATAAATATGTATATTTTCTTCTTATCTCCTTAAATGGAAGAAATTACCTTTAGAGCAATTCAAATGTTATGCATGTACTCATACGTGTTATGAGTATTATTTATCTACTCATTCATTATTAATTTCCAAAATGAAATTTTGGAAATAAAATAAATATTTTTAATGTTTTCATTTTGAATTGCACCTACTTGGAATATTTTCTCATTTAGTCTAAGTCCAAACATTATACAGTCCGTGTAACTGACAGGCATATCACTTTTTTTTGTACTGTTGAAGACCTGACTGAACATAAATTTAATACTCTACTGATTTAAATATTTAAGCCTTTCATCAACTAGATATAACAAATTTTGACCAGTATTGTCTCTTGTTACTTTTTCTCTTCTCTTACTGATAACATGATTGTGAATAACACCAAAATCTGTGACCACAATTAACACTGTTTACCAAACTTATCTTCCAGACTGTCTAGACTTCTTCTCCGATTGCCTGCTCTTAGGCTAATGAGTGCTGCCATCACTGAAGAGCTATTCTTTGCAGGACTGATTGGAAATGTTCAGATTGATAGCATCATCCCATATATTCTGCGAATGGAGACAGCAGACTACAACTCTCAGATAATTGGTCATGGCGTATAAAAGTAGCAGTCAAGGATTCTGTACCATGGCAGTCATGGTGATGTAAATGCATACCCTGTCTCCAAGAGATGGCAATAAGCCTTCCCATGCACCTTTCCAAAGAAGGCTAATATTCCTCCTTTTCAGTACACTTGAGAAACGTGGTGGAGTGTATTAAGGAATATAGGATTGCTTCTTATTTTTCATCTGATCTTCAAGGACTTGTAAATTAACTTGATATCTGAAGAAAGTCAAGAATTGTCCATCCTATTTTTGTAGATAGATGAACTTGGAATATTTGTTTATGAAGTCCAGGCTTGTGAAGAAACTGAAGAAGCTTTGACTGAACTAAGGTATCTCAACTTAGTTTGATGTTTTAGACAAATAAATTAACTTTCCTCTCTGAGTTGTGTTTTCAGTGTTTTGCTACTAGTTCTTTCTCACTGATCAAATGGAAAATACATCATCAAACATCCTAAAAAGGCCAGTGTTTCCATGGAAACAAGACCATTATAACCAAACTTAGTTCTTTCTGTTGTTTTGAAGAGAGATTTGTTTCTTGTTGAATGAAACACTGGACATCATTACAAGTGCAGGGAAAGTAGAGGAAATTCACATTTTAAAATATTCTGATGATATGCTGATGCAGTTTATCAAAAGTGAAGCAGCAAAGGATCAGTACTGACTGTTTTGTGATGCAAAGGAATACTGTGTTGTAGTATTAACATCTTGGTAGACATCAGCTGGTTTATACAATAAAAAAACTAACAGAGAAGTATATACTTCAGGTATTCAAAGACAGCATCCTCCTGGTTTTTCTGGTCTCAGAAGTTAAAGCTTTTTCGCACTACCCCTCCCTCTTTCATACTCAGTGCACAACCATGGAGGCATTCTAGATGCCTCTTAACTTGTGTTCATGTCTTTATTTTTTTATTATTGTTAGCCTTTGGCTATATAGTTCCAACCAGTCTCATATGATTATTTTTTAAATTTTAAATTTGAGTTTGTCAAATCCAGTGCCCCTCCCTATGGGAGCATGGTCTCTGCTGCTTTTCCTTTCCTTATTAGAAATGGGTCTAGATACTTCATATATGTTGCCTGAATCATGCTCCATAGCTCCATCTAAGGATGGGTTTAAATGTTTTTCTATCTTGAGGCATGTGCCTCACTGATGAGTAACACTGACATATGGTTGGTTGCTTCTTGGTATGCATCTCAGCAGCAGGGTTTATGGAAATAGGAAAGGCGGTTGCTGCCAATATGCTGTGCTTGTTCTCTCCCCAGGGTTTAGAGGTCTGTCTTGCTCTCTGTAGGACCAAGTTGCCGATGGGAGGTATATCATTCTTCAATCCAGCTCTCCTTTGAAATTCTGACCCTGCTTTCTAGCCCTGTGCTATCCCTAACCCACTTCTGGCCCTAACAGGCGTGGGAGATTCAGAGTCCTCTGTGTTAAACCTTTTAAGGAAGCTGACAGCACATTACTCCTGAATATTTTGGAGGTGGTTTCTGAGGCATTCCAATACTCTTGGAAGAGTTTTACTCCAATATTCTCCAGATTCATGTAACTGAGATAACAGTAAATAATGGAAATAAAAGCTTGCTTTCCTTCTAAACGCAGTACATTGTGTAAATCTCTCTCACATCCTTGGAGAAATCTTTTAGTCCATAGCTTGAGCCTCAGGTGTGATATGTAGTTCTTTGTTTACAGCTGGCCAAACGATTCAGCTGATGCACCCTCTCGCAGGGTGCTGTCCAGCTTTGGAAACAGCTGAGAAAATGCCAGTGTTGCTACAGATGTAAATCTTTAGCAATTGAATCCCTCAGTGCATCCATCTTTATCATAGACCAGCCCAGGCCTGAAGGGACCTTGAAAGACCATCCAGTCCAACCTTCTGTGGGAAAGGGAGCCTAGATGAGATTGCCTAGTGCTCTGTCCAGTCGCATCTTGAAAACCTCCAGTGATGGGGACTCCATCACATCCCTGGGGAGGTTGCTGCAGTGGTTGATTATTCTCAGCGTAAAAAACTTCTTTCTTATGTGGAGATCTCCAGGAGTTTTCAGAGATGATAGACAGTGGCCTTGCACCAATGTCAGCCACTTGTCTCAATACCCCAGGGTGGATTTCCTCTGGGCCCATGGATTTATGCGGGTTGAGCCCTTGCAAGAGGCTGCAGACCAGCCCTTCTTCCACTACTGGTGGGTCAACACGTGTATTGTTGTAGCTACTTGATCCTGTGCTCTGCGGTCCAGCTGTGCTGGCAAAGACAGAGGCAAAGATACTGAGAACCTCTGCCTTGTCAGCATTACTAGTGAGTAGTTTCCCTGCCCTGTCTACGTTTTCCCTGTGCTTCTGCTTACTGCTGACGTATCCAAAGAACCCTTTCTTCTTGTTCTTGACATCTTGGGCCAATGTCAGTTCTAGCTGAGCCTTAGCCTTCCTGACCGCACCTCTGCATGCCCTAGCAAGGTTCTTGTAGTCCTTTGATGGGTATTTAGCCACCTTTCCATAGCTGGTATGCTTCTTTTTTGCCCCCCCCCCCCCTTTTTTTTTTTTGCTTTTCTGTTCAGAGCATTGTTTTGGAGGAGATGGCCTCAGAACCTTATTTTCTCTGGATTTCTGTTCTTGCTTCATCTTTGTGCCCTAGTCTGTTTGAATACAAGTTAGCCTACTTCAGTAACATGTGGACTGCCATTACCACTGACTGCTGGGTCAAGACTACTTTCTTAGGATGTGTTAAATCAAAAGCACAAGAACCTTGGTCATGTTTCCATCAGGTTGTTTAAATTCAGGTGTTTGAAACATGTCCTTGCTGTTCTTTTTGATTCCCATCACCTCTGCTGGGCAGCATTAGATCCAAATCCCAATGGCTGACTTTTTCCCCTCCCACACCTTTTACTGTTCTTTTCCTGGCAAATCCCTTGGACTTCATCTGGGATTCCTGCCAGATCACTGAATCAGGAAATTCACCCATCCATGTTTTTCTTTTTAAATCCTGTATTTTCAGGTCTGAGATTTGCCTTCACATGTTGGGTAGCAAGAGAATATTGTCCTCTTATTTGCATGGGACAGAGACTTTCAGATTATCTTTAATCTAGTTCGCTTGACCAGCTGAGAAATCAAACAGGATAACCACCTCCAAACTAGGTAATAGACTGTATTACCTCACTTGAACAGTATGGTTGAGTCACCATCAGTAATCACAATATTCTCTAATAGTTCTCAGACTACATTTGAGGCTTTGCTCAATAATATCTGTTTCATATCTTTGCAAACCAGACAACTAGTTCAAATCTTCAACCAAAGAACCGGTCTCTGCCGGCCACCTTTTCCTGAGAATACTGCGACACTTAATTATCTGTGGTGTGGCCATCTATATGGATATGCACATAAAGAAAAGTTGCTTATCTCAAAGAGATTCTAGCTACTTGTGTGTTGTCTATATATGCGATAACCATATACCCTTCTCCCTTGGTATGTGTGGCTGACAGAATATTGTAACTCTATGCTTGCTGTCAAGTCAAGGAAAAGGGAGAGATATGAGTGTACGCCCACAGTACTGTGAGGGCCAAAAAAAAAAAAAATTTTATGATCTTGGATACCTCTGATGTTCGGACCTCTATAGAGCAAATGTGCATACACACAATGCATTGCAAAGAGCTCTGGCTACTGGTAAGTAACCTTTTTTATCCCAAAGTTTTCTTACATTTTTTCATAATAATAAATTTTCATTGTAAGTTCAGTATTGATTGAAAGGTAGCGTGCAGCTGGTCTATGTTGCCTGGCAAGTAATCTCTCTTGTCTTTATGATGATCTAGAAGCTGGATCCCATACTGCAGGTTGTTGCTTCAGTGCTACTCATTTTGCACATCAAGAATTTTCATTATTCATTTAAAAATAATTTCATTAATCATTCTTCAACTATAAATTCATGCTTTTGATAAGGATTGAGGCATAACTGGGTTTTCTCAGGAATGGGAGCTTTAAAACAGGTAAATTAATACAGGGATGAACATGGGTTTTCCTTATTTCTGGATGTTAACCATTGCAGTCATCTGAGAATAATGCAACAGCTCATGGAAAGGCTAAACAGTGAAGTTCTGGTTTTGTTGTTTTGGTTTTTTAAGATAACTGCTGCTCAGTTAAATGGAGCATATTAAGTTACCTTCAACTCAGGCCCTTAGTGTTTCTAACAGCTATTTTTTATGATGACATGATCTCACATTACCATCTGTGTGATTTATTGTCATTTATAGTCTTGTGAATAAATGTTCTTTGCTACTGAATGAAAGGTTGGCTAATATTACTGGTTTATTTTGTGCTGTTCAGTAACAATTGTTGGTCAGCTAACAAAAATGTGAATAATGAAGCTCACTCCACCATGGACATTAAAATATCTCATTGGTTTTGTGACCTCTTCCTTTCACCTTCATTTTTCAACTTTTTGATCTTCAGCAGTCTGCCGGTTTTCATACCCAATCAGGATTTAAGCAAACTGTGGCATTTGCTAGCCAAAAAACAAGAAGTCTCTTTGCCAATGCAAGGACAAGTTTAGTTTCAACAGCTTTAAAATTTTCAATGCTAAGAGCAAGAAAAATCATTTTAATATAAATTACATGAAAGGAAAAACAATTTTATACATTTTAGAATCCTGTAATTTAAAGATGGGAGCAATGTTACACATAGTAACTACACACTAGTTACACTAGTTCAGACATTTTTCATGGAAGTATATGTTGTACATATATTTAGGTTTAGGTTGCTTGTTTCATGCTGGTAAAGTTCCTGGTGCAAATAATTGTTATATTTTAAACTTTTTTCAAAAGTACATTCATTGCAATACCTTCTGCAGTTATAAACTTACCTGTCCACACATTTATTCTCTTTGTGTAATCTTCAGTGTCAGTGAAAGTCACTCTGTTCATTTTGAAACTAGTCTGTTCATTTTGTTCAGCCTTTGCAGTTTGCTATTACATCAGTTTCTGTGTAAGCATTACAATGTCACTGTAGTTGTCTTGCTGTTGTATAAAAAAAAAAATCACTGTAAATGTCTTGAAACCTGGCTAAATTGGTAAATTCTATTTTGGCTGTATTTTTTAAAATAAATTGTAACTTTCTATTATAGAAAACAATTGCAATAACCTAGTACTTTGTTAGTGTTTGATATGGATTGACTTACAGACCTAAAACAGTGTATATGATTACAAAGAGTTTGTGGATCTTTCACACTTTTATTACACACTGTAGTATTGTCAATTATATTTAGTCTCTGGGATTTGTGATAGCTGCAATATCTTGCTGTTCGCTGATCTTTGTTGCTATTAACCCTTTGTTTCCGTGCTTACTACTATCTGGTCTATGAATTTGAAATTGTAATAATTTATTGTAAAATCTAATTTACCAAT